AAAGCATAGACTAAAAGCGGGTGGTCGCTTTATGCTGTTACTTACGGTAGCATCCAAAATGTACACACAAAAAATAATCTAAAAACTAAAAAACCTTAGAAAACACTTTTAATTCCAAGAAAATGGGGGTCAAAGTATGCAATAAATGGACTTGCTAAAATTCATTTTCATAAAATCAGAAAAGATGTTTGGAACTACTTTCACTGCAATAGTAGAGGGCATCACAGTGTGCAGTGGAAGTGTTTTCTAAGGTTTTCTAGGTTTTTTGTTGTTTTTTTTTACTTCATATTAAAAAGTGCATTTTGGATCAATATGGCACACTTTGACCCCCATTTTCATAGAATTTCCACGGTAAAAGTGAATGTCACTTTACACAACATTAGAGTGTCTGCAGCCGCACGTCCTTGGGCAAGACACTTAATTCCTTTTTGCCTGAATTCCCTGCTGAAAGATAAAAACTTTTGTAAAATTCACCTCCTGCAGGAGGATCCGTGACGGGTTAGTGCTATGTGTACTGGGTCCAGCTCTGATTGTCATCCCCCAACCCAGAAATGGATAAAGGGGGAGAAAATGTATGGACAAAAGTCTAACCAGTTTATTATAATGGGCATCGTTTGTGTCACACTCACCATTTTGAGCTTAAATCTGTGGCTTAGGGCCATGGCTCCATAATGATAACGGGTTTGACGCTCTCTGTGATCCTGGTGATTATTGTGGCCATACTTAATAAAATCAGATCTTGTCCGACCTCTGAAGCTGTGCAGGACGGGGCCTGGTTAATACTTTGATGGGGGATCTGTGAGAACCCCATGTGCCACAATGGGGTGCTGTGGCTGTGAAGAGCTAAACTGTTGTTGTGTCCTTACGCAAGACACATTGCCTTGAATGAGTCTGGTCTATGCGTGAATGGTTGTGGTGGTTGGAAAGGCTGTTGGCACATACTGGTTGCCAACTCTTTTGTTGGTGTGCCCCAGGGCAGCTGTGGCTAAGTAACAGGAAGTCACAAACTAAGAAATTGCTTTGACTCTCATCACCACCCTGTATGGTAGTGATGTGCTGAGCGTGCCGGGTCTTCGAAGCGTGTACCGAGTAAAAAAGGGGCGTATGTTTTGAAGCGTGGTTCGAGGCGTGTGTTCCTGACGTGTGTGGTGACGTTTGAAGCCTCGCGTAGCGCCCGCACCACGTGGCGGTTCATATAGTGCTTCATATAGTTCGGAGAGTGCATTGCTTTGACAGGTGCTTTGTGATCCGCGGCTGTACCATAGACTGTATTGGCTGTCCCCGTCTGCCTCTGTGTGCGTACGTGTGTGTGCGTACGTGTGTGTGTGCGTGATGTGGAGCAGTCCTGTACTAAGTATAGAGAAACTACTTCATATGAAATACAATTAAAAACGTTTCACTTTAGTAAAACCTCATATATCAAGGCTTCAAGTTATTAGTAATAATACGCTGGATAATACATTTCACAACAACTGTGTGGCGCAGTCGGTCTATGACGGACTCCGAAGTAGAAGATATAGCGTTCGAATCCCGGTCTACCCATAATACATTTTGTGTTGCAAAGTAAATGTATTTATTTATTGGGAATAAATAGTGTGTTGTGTTTAATTAATCCACCACTTGGTAGTTTTTCCTCCATTAATCACTTTTTGTAGAACTGTATTACTTTGGATGTGTTTGTTGTATCAACACAATTGACTGAAAGACTCAAATAGTTCATAGTTCATGAAGCATCATTTCAAACACAACACGTTAGACCATAGATTGTAAATATACATTTTAACATTAGATCTCACCATTCATTGTAAGCACTTAAGAGTGTTATGTATTTTTTTGTCCACATGATGGCGTAGTGGAGCATGATTCACATCGAGCCTTCGACTCATGGGCCGAGTAATAGGCTGCGATCCCTCAAGGCTTCATGGGGCTTCATATTGCCATCACTACTGTATGGAGTGAAAGAATAATGACTTGCCTTTGAGTGTCCTGAAAAGTGCTGAATAAAACGGATGCATTATTATTATTGTGATATTGCTGGGTTGTAGTGGACGTCGCGCAATGGTGCTAAACTCCTCAGAGGAACAGGAAGTAAATATCCCTCTACATGCGTTTGCAGTGACGTCACACATCCGGAACTTCTGCATAGCGCCATTTTGAAAGCCTGTTGACAACAGGTTGACAGTGCACACAATATTGATATATACAGTCTATGGTACACACACATGCGAGGTGAGCTAAGAGTATTAGGACTATTTAGAAGAGAAAAGCAAGATATTGTTCTAAATATGCAATCTTTGGAGTGAAGGTAGAGGAATGTCCCTACAAATTACCACTTGGTACCTCGGTTCCTCGTTTATAAGCAGAAAAAAACATTTGATGTTGTCGGACTAATGTGTACTGTCACTGGTTGTCAAGTAATGTTTGCCCCGGCCACGGTAACTGCGGGCGAAATGCTCGGATGAACTGCCTGTGGCCCAGATGTGTGATCACATGTATTAATAACCATGTAGTCAAAATATGTGTACAGATGTGGCAACTGCTCGTATTCAGTGGAGAACTAATCGAGTCTCTATTTTGTTAAAATATATTTCTCCAATGGGTGTTGATTTTTTGGAAAATGCCTGAAAAGGAATTGAAGAAATGCGTTAGCCTGCAAAGCATCTACAGCCACAAACACAGCTGTCTGCAATCTTTCAGAGAAACAATGCCGTCTTTAGTGGTATATGGTTTTCAGTGGCTATAGGGAGAAATCATTGCTAAATACATTTTTGAATGGCAATGGTCGTCTCAAAGGCTGAGAAATCTTAAGTCTTCTAACATAGAAACTAGTATTCATCGTGTTTTTCAACATTATTTCCTCGATAGGGACTGTGAGGACCAGGAGGACAAGTGTAATGTCTAGGGTAGTGAGGAAAATGGACAAAAGATGCAGAGGTCTGGGATCGGGTCCAGCGAAAGACACTTTTTGATTTATTTTAAAAAGAGACACTACCAAAGATTTTTAGTGTGCACAGGTCTTTATACAAGACAAAAAAGAGACTCCCATCAGTGTCAGCCATGGTCACAAGGGTGGCTGAGTGGACAGCACTCTCGCCTCTCAGCAAGAAGGTCCTGGGTTCGAACCCCGGTTGGACCAGGGCCTTTCTGAGTGGAGTTTGCATGTTCTTCCCGTGTCTGCGTAGGTTTCCTCCAGGTGCTCCGGTTTCCGCTACCACTAAAAATATGTACAATAGGTCTGGCATGTGCCTCCTGTACTGGCACCCCCACTCCCGTAGACGGGGAGAACATGCAAACTCCACTCAGGAAGGCCCGGGTCCAACCGGGATTTGAACCCAGGACCTTCTTGCTGAGAGGCGAGAGTGCTATCCACTCAGCCACCGTGCCACAATTTTCGCTGTGTTCGTTGCAGCCCCCCACTGTCAGAATTTTTTTTATTTACAGCTAAAAAATTCACCATAATGACAATACAGGGTAATTTCTCGCCTCAAATGTTGTTAAAAGTAATACTTATGTCCTATTTATGTATTTTGCAACGGTAACTCCAGCTTGCCTTAACAACCGTCTAAGCTACACCGTGTTGCAACACATTTGCCCCACGGATGCATAATATTGGTCTGCCCCGACATTAGCTTACAGCGTGAAGCTAACGTTGTCGGAAGAAATTCCCATATAAGGAAGTTGTCTTCAGCTGGGTTATGTTATGTATGGTGATGTCACACTCGGCCAGTCCACTCCTCAAATATGTCTATGGTCATTTTGACCTGAGTCTTCTTGGTCGCTCATGTGGCTTAAGTGATGAACAAAAAGTGATGAACAAAAAACTGAACCAGACTTTGGTTTTGTGTGTAAATAAAGACTCATAGAAGCATTTGGTAGAAAAGTGGTTGTATTGTTGAGGTCATTCTTTTATTGATCCGACACGGGCGTTAGGTCTGGGGTCTGCTGTGGTCAGCCTGTGGTCCCAGGATCCGGTCATGGTCCTCTCAGCCTGTGGTCCGCGGTGGATGGACTGTGTGTGTGGCGTCCTCAGAAGGATGGACCGGGGTTGGGGCATTGGGACACAGGGGTTTGGGTCTGGGGTCTGGGTCTCAGGACTTAGAAGTAGTTGACCACGCGACGGATGGACTGGATGTTGGGGTTCTGGGCCTGCCACTCATTGTGACTGCAGTAACAGCCGCGCTCTACAATGTACATGCGCCCGCGGAAGTTGGGCTCCTCGTACATCACCCAGCTGTGGACACAAGTGAGACCACTTTTAAATCACACACAAGACTCTGGCTTACATAGAGCCATGTCTCTAAGTTCCATTTGCTACAGACAGCGCGCTGTTGAGTCACCAATGTTGTGTCACGACTGTTGTGATTGTGAATGGGAACAGCGTTCAACCTTGTAGCTCCTGTACAGGTAGCGAAAAGATGACCAGAGTCGGGGCGACAGAGAAATTGTAAAGTAAATTCACTATTTAGTTATCATGAACTGTTATACGTAATTTTAAGACCCAGAATCTCAGGAATTATTAAACTAAAGGTTTGATAAGCCATGCGTCACTTATTGATCACAATGCAAATGCAGCAGCAGTGTGTGTGTTTGTGTAAGTGTTTGTGTGTGTACTTACGCTCCATCCCCGTACACTCTCACAGAGTTGATGCAGTTCTTGCTGAAGCCGCGGCTCTGGAGGAAGGGGCAGTCGTCACAGATCTCCACACACTGTCCAGAGAAGTTACAGCCCTCGAAAAGCTCCATGCGGTAGTGCTCCCCGTGCTGCAGAGAGAAGCAGGTCTGAACCCGGTCTGAACCAGGACTAAAGCAGGACTAAAGCAGGACTAAAGCAGGTCTAAAGCAGGACTAAAGCAGTTCTAAAGCAGGTCTGAACCAGGACTAAAGCAGGACTAAAGCAGGACTAAAGCAGGTCTGAAGCAGGTCTGAACCAGGACTAAAGAAGGTCTAAAGCAGGACTAAAGCAGGTCTAAAGCAGGTCTGAACCAGGACTAAAGCAGGACTAAAGCAGGACCAAAGCAGGTCTGAAGCAGGTCTGAAGCAGGTCTGAACCAGGAATAAAGAAGGTCTAAAGCAGGACTAAATCAGGTCTAAGGCAGGTCTGATGCAGGACTAAAGCAGGACTAAGGCAGGACTAAAGCAGGCCTAACAGGGCTGTACCATGCGGACAGGCTTGCAGGAGCCCATATGGTCGTTATGGGAGTTCCAGCGCTGGAACTCTGGGTACTCTCCGTGCTCCAGGATGTACTGCTGCCCTTTGAAGTCGGGGTGATCGTAACAGATCCAGGCCCCACTCTCCACACGGATTGAGTTCACCCTGAGAACAAACACAAGAGGGGTCTAAACCAGGCAAACCAGGGCCAAACTTGTCTGGGCCTGGTCTAGGTCTAGGTCTAGGTTTGGGTCTAGGTCTGGTCTAGGACTCACCGGTTCATGAAGCCGCGGTCCTGGAAGTTGTCACAGTCTCCTCTGACCTCCAGCTTCCTCCCAGTGAAGCATTTCCCCTCGAAGAAGGTGATCTGCCAAGCACATGTTTACATCATAACAATAGTGTAATAATAATAATAATAATAGCATAATGATAATATACAGTTGTGTTGTCAGCACAGTAAAACACACACATTTACATTATAATTATATTAAAATAACATATAGTTCTCTGATAAATCTGAGAAATTAGAGCTGATAATTTAAATTCAGCAGCTCTGATGAACCAGGACACAGACATTTTGGCTCAGATGGACCAGGACACACAGAGCTCACTCACCTTCCCAGAATACTGTGACATGGTGCGTTCGTGCGTCCGCTCAGTGTGCGTGAAAAGTTGGATGGGGATATTTATACAGCGGCGAAGGGAGGGGCCTGGCTTTGCCCACAAAAGAGCCTCTCCGCTGGGCCACGCTGAGTCGACTCTTCCCTTTGAGCCTGGAACAAAACCAGAGAAAAGTGCTGCAGCCGGGGTTTCAGGGAGGCCAGGTGAGGGTCGCATCTGTGGAGTGGCGAGTCACAGGGAATTATACACCTGCTAAAGATAATAATAATAATAATAATAATACATTTTATTTAAAAGCGCCTTTCAAAACACCCAAGGACACTGTACAGGCATAATAAAAACATTTAAAAACAGGATAAACAGAATAAAACAGTAGTCAGGTGCAATATGGGATGGTGTGTGTGTGTGTGTGAGTTAGGAGGGTGTGTGTGTGCGTATGTGTTAGGTGTGTGTGTGTGTGTGTGTGTGTGTGTGCGCGCGTGTGTGTTAGGTGGGGTAGGACAGTCTGAACAGATGGGTTTTGAGTCGGGATTTGAAGAGTGGAAGAGAGTCAATGGTACGGAGGTCAGGGGGGAGAGAGTTCCAGAGCTGGGGATCTGGATCCCCAGCTCACATGTTACACACAAAGATCACATGTTACACACTCCATAATTCAAAGATTGTGACTGAAACACCAACAGGTCACACCATTGTCAGTGGTTGATGAAGCTTATAGTCAAAGCTGTTTTCTGTGTACAAATTACAATGAGGTGAGGATCTCCTTCTCTGACCCTAAACATAAGACAAGTCTCCATCCCCCAGTTCTCATAAGTGTCCATCTCCCAGTCCTCATACGTCTCTGTTCCGTCTCCATCTCTTAGTTCTCATAAGTCTCCATCCCCCAGTTCTCATCATTGGGTTAAATTGAAATTATTGGGTAAGAAAAGTTTGGGATTCCTTGCAACACACGCACATACTCATAAGCACAAAACATAAGCACGAGACAGAAGGGGCGGAGCATCATGCTTGCTCAAGTTCCTGGATGGCTCTAAACACAACTCCAGGTCTGTAACTGATGAGGAACAATATTATAACATTTCTGAACTTATGTATGTTAGTTATGAATTATACCTGGACATCTATTTGTCCTGCCTGCAGGACACTCTGTCAATATAGGGAGAGACTGATCCACTCTCGCTGAATTAAGGAGAAATTCTGCAGGTCTTTACCTTCTCCTTCTGTCAGACTGTTCAAAGAGAACGGCTGAGCCTGGACATGTGCCATTCATCTGTACCGATATAATTCATCAGTCACTTTACCCGTTGCTATTATCATTGTTGTTGTTGTTGTTTTTATCATAATGATAATTTTTATTATTATTTTAGAATTTAGAATAATAATAATAATAATTCATATTATAATCATATTCTCTGCTGCTAAACATCTGTAAATATGAAACCTGCTAACTGCAGTGTACAAGTGACGTATCCCTGAAGTGCAATTACAGCTCCAGCGTTTTCTTTTTACTTATTATTTTTACAGTGAGACGTCTGTCCCTGTGACCATCCTCCAGTGTGATACAGAGTGAGACGTCTGTCCCTGTGACCATCCTCCAGTGTGATACAGAGTGACGTCTGTCCCTGTGACCATCCTCCAGTGTGATACAGAGTGAGACGTCTGTCCCTGTGACCAGCCTCTTCCGTTTGTGTATGCGTGTGCGCCAGTCCCACTACTGAGCAGTGAAAGCGGATAATTTGAAGTTTTAAAGCAGAAATAAACTGTGACACTACCGTGTCCGGGCTCCAGGTAACACAGGGACCCACACTCGCCTCAAAACAGGGACAATTCCCTAATTTAGCGCCAAAAGAAGCGCTCTTTGTGACACTTCCGCCTGTTAGCTGTTAGCTGTTAGCCACTGCTGCAGCAACAACAACAACAACATAGGACAGAGGCAGATGTCTGGGCCAGGTCTGATGCAGGACTAAAGCAGGTCTAAAACAGGACTACAGCAGATTTAAAGCAGATAGACGTGGGTTGTAATAACATCCACATACCGATAACAGGTGAACTAGTGTTTGAGTGCAAAGGACATGGCTGAGCAGAACACTGAAGCCAAACTGAAATCCCTCCTGAAGCAGCAGAAGATCCAACTGTGGAACCCACCCTACACCCTGGAGAACCAGCCTTGTGCTCAAAGCATGCAGGTGAGAGCTCTAAACCTGGAGTATGTGACATTAAAGCTTGGGTGTGAAACTTTCCGACCACAATGTGTCTTTAGTTCCTGGCTCTAAAACAGTTGCTTCTATCCGTAGTTTTCTCACATTATTATATATTTTTGGTCACATCTTAAGATCAGCTTTTTCAGACCTAAAAGTGAAAAAGTGAGGACTATCCTTACTCAGCCAATCAGCTCTCAGAGGAAAATTGTGACTCTTAGGTCTCTTTCTGACACAAGAGACCATGTTTTCTCATGAGATGAAGACAGCAGGTCAGTCTTTGATGAGGGTTGAACTCTGATGTTTGTTCAGACTGTGATTGTTGTTACGGTGGTTGTTTGGACAGGAGCTGGCACAGACTCTGGCCCCTCTGCTCGACCTCTCTGTCCTGGACGTAGGGGGTGCTCTGGAGCTGATCCGCGCTCAGGCCGTGACCCGAGGAAGAGGAAACCAGACCTTCAGAGAAACCAGTGTCGCCACCATCGAGCTCCTGCTGCCGCGGGAGGTCCGCAAGGTACAACTGTCTCTGTCCTCAGCCTCAGTCCTCAGCGCCTGTCTCTGTCCTCAGCCTCAGCCTCTGTCCTCAGCCTCTGTCCTTAGCCTCTGTCCTCAGCCTTTGTCTCTGTCCTCAGCCTCTGTCCTCAGCCTTTGTCTCTGTCCTCAGCCTTTGTCTCTGTCCTCAGCCTTTGTCTCTGTCCTCAGCCTCAGCCTCTGTCCTCAGCCTCTGTCCTTAGCCTCTGTCCTCAGCCTTTGTCTCTGTCCTCAGCCTCAGCCTCTGTCCTCAGCCTCTGTCCTTAGCCTCTGTCCTCAGCCTTTGTCTCTGTCCTCAGCCTCTGTCCTCAGCCTTTGTCTCTGTCCTCAGCCTTTGTCTCTGTCCTCAGCCTCTGTCTCTGTCCTCAGCCTCTGTCTCTGTCCTCAGCCTCTGTCCTCAGCCTTTGTCTCTGTCCTCAGCCTCTGTTCTCAGCCTTTGTCTCTGTCTTCAGCCTCTGTCTTCAGCCTCTGTCTTCAGCCCTCTGTCTTCAGCCTCTGTCTTCAGCCTCTGTCTTCAGCCTCTGTCTTCAGCCTCTGTCTTCAGCCTCTGTCTTCAGCCTCTGTCTTCAGCCCTCTGTCTTCAGCCTCTGTCTCTGTCCTCAGCCTTTGTCTCTGTCCTCAGCCTCTGTCTCTGTCCTCAGCATCTGTCCTCAGCCTTTGTCTCTGTCCTCAGCCTCTGTCTCTGTCCTCAGCATCTGTCCTCAGCCTTTGTCTCTGTCCTCAGCCTCTGTCCTCAGCCTCTGTCCTCAGCCTCTGTTCTCTGTCTCTGTCCTCAGCCTTTGCCTCTGTCTTCAGCCTCTGTCCTCAGCCTCTGTCCTCTGTTCAGGATCTGAAGACTAAAACCCTGTTCCAGAGCCGCCTGGATGTGTGTGCGCAAGAACTGGTCCACAGGTCAGACTCAAAATATATCACATTTTTTTATTATAATCACACTTTGAAAATTGTAAGTGTCATTTATTTCAGAATTTCGGAAGAATTTGGACTTAAATCTATCAAACTGATCCTGAATGGAAGAACTCTAATCCTGGGTAAGAACCAGGTCGGAACCGGGTCTATAGCAGGTCTATAGCAGGTCTATAGGAGGACTAAAGCAGGACTAAACCTAGTCTAAACCAGGTCTAAAGCAGGTCTAAGCAGGACTAAGCAGCACTTGTCTTGTGGGTTCAGACAGGACTCTGGAGGAGCAAGGCGTCAGGAACCACAGTAAGATGATGGTTTTACGAGTGAGTGACGCAGAGTGGGAGCAGCGGCAGCACAACGAGCTTCAGAAGAGGCAGAGTCTGCAGAGGACTCACAAAGGCTTCCAGATCCTGTCAGAGAGAGGTGTGTGTTTGCGCGTGTGTGTGTTTGTCTGTCTTTCTATCTGTGTCTGTCTGTCTGTCTGTCTATCTGTGTCTGTGTCTGTCTATCTGTGTCTGTGCGTCTGTGTCATTGTGTCTGTGTATGTGTGTGTGTGTGTGTGTGTGTGTGTTCTAACCTGGGTGTGTGTTTCCAGAGGAGGATCTGGACTCAAAACCGTTCCTGGAAATCGCTGACCAGAAGGGAAACCCACTGAGCATCCCACAAGAGGAGAAGAAGGTCCGCACATACATACGCACACACACACACGCACGCACACACGCACACACACGTACGCACGCACACACTCATACATTCAGCTTTCTTCTGCAGGCTCTGATTGTTGCTATGGGCTTCCATGAGAAGGGCCGTTCCCTGATGAAGAGGAAACAGTTTGACAACGCACTGAGCCACTTGCTTCAGGCCGACCAAGAGTTCAGGTCAGCCCAAAGAGTCAAAGAGTGACTCACAGGGATCTTTGTCTTAAAGATGCAGTAAGTGATTTTGTTAGCTTAGTCGTAGCACCAACTCGAAACCACCCCCCCTCCCCTCGCCTCGCCACCAAACCAAACATCCAGCATTTTCTTTTCTTTTTCGCAACAGGGACAGTGGGGGGAAAACCTGAAATTGGCATTTCCTGTTCAGCCCTTTTAGGTTTTAGAAAATGCGATAACTCAGGTGCGCGCACTCGCGAGAAACAGTAAGAGGGTGAAGGGGGGTAACCAGTGGGGACGGGTCCCGGCTCAAAAGTGGCCAAAATGATAGGCGCTGACCTGCTTGCAATACCACCCCGGACCGATGGGGGGGGACCCAGAATAAGAATTAGCCATTGCTAACATACAGCATTGGCAGACCTTTCAAAAACGTCTTTACAGGATGGTCCAAAAGTTGGCTCTGGGCCCAAAGCTCCGTTCCACATGTGTGTCAATGCGGAGGGGAGTGAATTTTTTGGACCACTCTAGTTTACTTGCTGTGAATTTTTGAAGTCACTCGTTCAAATGAATGGAGCTCTCGCCGGCTGACACATGTGCAGAGGCGTTTTTTCACAATTTTCTTGCGGGCGGGACCATTCACGGCCATTTTGGATAGCTCCATTAGAGCACATTTTTTGGCCCATTTGTTTGACCGCCGGAGATAGGCATGACTACGTCCGTTAATATTTACAGTCTATGGGGGTAAAACATCCCATCGGTTTGTTGGGGATGAACAGATCCAATTGGTTTATTTTTATTGGTCTGCTCCAAAATATTTTTTATACATTTTTGGAGACTATAGGAATCTGGTCAATTCCATTAATATTTGAAACATGATAACTTGACTACTTTTAGGGTTTAGCGACGTTTTCCCACAATATTTAAAAAAATGCTTTTGGAAAAAATCATTGACTGTATCTTTAAGCAGGTCCCGAGCAGGCCTAAAGCAGGTCGAAAGGAGGACTAAACCAGGTTCTAAAGCAGGACGTAAGCAGGTCTAAATGAACCACTTGTTTTGTTTCAGTAAGTGCACCTCGACCCTGCTCAGTTTGGTGGATAACTTTGCAGTACTGCAGCTGGACATCGTATGGTGCTATCGCGCTCTGGAGGCTCTGTCCTGTTTAGACGACAGTCGAGCGAGACTCCAGCGGGCAGAGACCAGCTTCCTGCAGGTGTACGGGGAGAGCCATCAACGCCTCAAGATGATCAAGGTGAACACACACAGACAGACAGACACCTAACTGGTAGGGTTGGGCGATATTTTTTTTGTACCGGTATACCGGTATAAGTAAATTAAATGATAAGAAAATGCCTTATACCGGTGAAAACGATCATTTAACACTGAAAACAGCGAGCGGAAGACACGTTTGTGTGCGGCGCACTTTGATGACGCATCTGCGCGGCATGTGTAGCAGAGCGGCGTGCAGGGACAACAACAACAGAGAGCAAACATGGCTGAGGGCGGCGGTGAAGACCATGGTGAAGACATGCAGATTGTAGAAGACATTGTGCCGAAACGCGGAGCTACCTCAAACATATGGGAGTAGTTTGGGAACTAGATAAAAAGAAGCAATTGTAACTATCGACAGTGGATCTAATGTTGTGAAAGCAGCTGCCCTAAACAACTGGACTCGAGTGGCTTGCTTCGGACACTCGCTCTCTCTCTCTCTCATAGTGCCATTGGTAAGCTTTATTTATTGTTTACTGTCATTCATTTTACTTCAATGCATGTGTTTGTCTACATTGCAATATAATTACAAATAAGTTATAATTACATAATTATAGAAACGCAAAAGGATACAAAAAATATATACAGTATTTGATCATTTTGACTATATTGGGATTAGGAAACATAAGCCAAAGTGATCAAATAGTTATTTGATAATGCTACACTTTTTATATTACAAAGGACAAACTTTTATATATTTTACAAATTACAAATGTTCACCTTTATTACATGTTGCCTGCAATTTTCAGTATGTACAAAACAGAATTCTCTACAATTCAGTTTTGTTAATACGTTTTATATACAATAGCTGTATTACACATTTTGCTGCCAATAAATCAGTAAATGCACTTTGAGGCAAGTGTGTTTAAAGTTTTTATAGCTTTTATATGAGGCTTTGTTCAAATTATCATATCGTCATATCGTGATACATACCAACAAAAATCGTGATACATGCTGAGGCCCATATCGCCCAACCCTACCTGGGAGATCCATCACCTTTGTTGATCAAGGACTGTGTGTATGTGTGTTTTTCAGGGCAGCTCTGGGCCGGAGGAGGTGCTATTCCTACGTCTGTATCTCCTCCAGAGTCTGTTGGCGTACATTGAAGGCAATGATACTCAGGCCAAACAGCAGCTGGACAAGGTGAGAGATCAGAAAGAGAGAGAGGGAGCAGAGGGAGAGGGAGCAGAGGGAGAGGGAGCAGAGGAGGGAGAGGGAGCAGAGGAGGGAGAGAGAGCAGAGGAGGGAGAGGGAGCAGAGGGAGAGGGAGCAGAGGAAGAGAGAGCAGAGGGAGAGAAAGCAGAGGGAGAGAGAGCAGAGGGAGAGAGAGCAGAGGGAGAGAGAGCAGAACAGTTTTATTGCTTGCTGTAGCTGTGTGTTCTGGTGTGTGTCCAGGTGGTGGCGCTGTACAGCCGTCTCACTCCGGATTCACAGAAAATGCATCAGCTGCTGACTCTGGGCTTCAGCGAGAGAGAGGCCAGACTGGGATTGCGAGCGTGTGGAGGAGAGGTCCAGGAGGCTGCCATTCACATCAGTAACAAGAGACAGGTCTGAACCAGGACCAGGACTGAGACCAGGACCAGGACTGAGACCAGGACCAGAATCAGGTCTTGTCCAGGTCTAAAGCAGCACTAAAGCAGGACTCAAGCAGGTCTAAACCAGATCTGAACCAGTCTAAACCAGGTCTCTCTGGTCTCTTTAGGAGCGTGAGGAGCTGAAGCAGAGGGAGAGGCAGAAGCGTCGCTCTCGTCTTGAATCGGTTTCTGTTTTGTGCGATTTGGGATTCGACCGAAGGGAAGCAGCCCGAGTCCTAAACCAGACCAGAGGAGACGTGGACCAGGCCTGCTCTGTGAGTCTCCCAAAACCCATTCTCCAGAAATGACACATTTAACGTTAAAAGTTGGGTTACGTAACTTTAATCTCATATGTTTACAGTTGGCAGTGTTGTGCCAGTTCACAGCTTTTCTGAACTAGTTCAAGTTCAGTTCATACTTGCTCAAAGTGAACAGTTCACGTTCAAAGTTCACAATTTTAATTCTGAACTAGTTCAAAGCTCAGTTCATTGTACTTTTTTTGTGAAATATTCAAATAAATACTTTTTTCACACTACGAGCTAGAAATCACTATATATTATAGATTATATATATATATATATATATATATATATATATAATCTCCTGTACACCGCACCTGCACCGAGAGCCTTTTGACTCCAAAACAGACAAGGTTTACAAGGTTTTCAATGGGAGCAAAACTGAGTTGTCCCGTCTCTGCTCATAAGTACTACAGACAGTAATGCGCTGCAGTGCGTGTGTCTATACTTTATGTCAAATGTAAACGGTTGGTCCTGTGTCGCTAACTCACTCTTTGTTTTCATCACGACTCAGGCACATATGAGTCCAACAACCCATGAAAAGCACTAGCATACAGTGTCGCACCGCAACACGAAGTCGGGGTGCCTTCACAGACAGTGGAAACCGCGGGAATTTTTTGTTTTCGGTGGAAAAAGTGCGGAGAATACAGGAGGGAGGAACTTTCTCTCGTTGCGTTTCAAAAGAGAAAACAGATGTCACTCAGTTTTCAATGGAAAATATATTCCAACGCTCATTTACAGTGATGTCTGCCATTCATGACACATAATGTGAACTAATTTAAGTTCTTTATTAAAAAATGTGTTGCGTTCAGTTCAACGTTCACAAAAAAATTAGCGTGTTCAATGAACGCCTTCTTTTGAACTCGACAGCTGACAGCTGGGGTATATAACTTTAGTTTGAACAGAAATAGTCTTAAAGTAAAATTATAAGAAGAAATGAGACCACAACATGCTGTCTTCATCTTTTGTGTAAGAAAGAGCCCTGTGAGTCACTATTTTCCTCTTTGGGCTGAGAGCTGATGGGCTGAGTGAGGGTGGCCCTCACCTTTTCACTTCTGTCTGAAAAAGTGACAGAGGCCAAAAATACATGATGTGAAAACTAGTGATAGAAGCAACTGTTTTAGAGCCAGAAACCAGTGCGATTACATCAAATTAATGTCCTAAAAAGTCCCTATTTTCCAGATCCTACTGAACGCCCGGCAGAGCTCTGAGGCCACAAACAACAACGACCCAGAGGCCGGGAGTCCAGACCAACTGGACCAGGTCTGATCCCACAAGTCCACTGTATGACCCATTATAACCATCACAGCAGCTGCCTCACGTGTTTGTGTGTGTCTGCAGCTCTTGTACCTGGGCTTTGAGAGGACACACTCGCACACTGCTCTCATTCTCACTGATGGAGATGTACAGGCTGCTGCACAGCTACTGCTGGAGAACCAGGGCGTCTTACCTCCGCTGAACCAGGACCCCGGTCCGTCAGGCCCGCCAGGCCCCTCAGGCCCCTCAGGCTCCTCAGGCTCCACGAGAGCAGAGCCCAGACCAGGATCCTCCACCGGTCAGTGTCAGTCCACTTGGCTTTGTAGTAAATAAATAATCTACATCTGGCTCTTCCCATTTGAACACATTTAACCTGATTTAGAAGCGGCTCTAGTCCTGACTCTTGTGGAACACCAGCTGTTTGTGACCCTCTCAATGTGTTTTCAGAGGACGATGCTGCGGTGAATGAGGTGCTTGAGGACATCTCTCGTCATGAAGAAGATTATCTGGACCTGACACTGGAAGAGGAAAGTGAGCTGATTGCCACACTGCAGTCCTATCTGAGCCTGAGACCAGCCCTACCAAAGACCCAGTAGACCAGTCCAACGACAGACTGTTCCAGATTTGATATAATGTTGTAATAATGAGACTCCAGCTTCAGAGCAGCAGCTGTAACTCGTTCTCGCCGTATAGTGAAACTCTCTTTTGTCTTTTATGTTCAATAAATCCATTTGAAGAAATCCCTGAATTTCTATTTGAGATTCAGAGGGTTTACTTTGAGCAGGTCAATCAAACCTTCTGCCTTTGCCGGACAGACCTATTATATATATATTATTGAGTAATGTATGTGATTTTTATGAGAACATTAATGAGAATTGATAACATTACTAATATAACCCCTATTTACATATCAATTGATTTACCCCTTGTAATACCCTTTTGAAGTGTATAATGATATACGCCTGGGGCAGAAAAATATATAATAAAATATATTTTATTCTTCTACCTGCTCCTTTCTGATCATGGAAATGTTTGAATGAACTGAAAAAAACGTGTTACTTGAAACGTACAACTATGCATTTTCATGAAAAGAATAAAAATAACCTGAACGGTCCTTTTCAAATAAAAATCGATATTGAAATATCTAAAAATAGTTTGAATTTTCATTTTTCATTTTGATGAGAAAAAGGAAAGTGAAAAACACGGACCCTGAACCTAAACCAAATGTTTGGTGCCATAAGATAAGATTAGATATTTTCCACATTTATATTACAGTGTGTCAAACGCCTCCTACGACCCCCTGGTTCCAAGCATAGACTGTTAAGCCATATATGTGTTAGTTCACCCTGAGACCAGTAGGGGGCAGCACTGCGCCTGGGGTCCGCACGAAGAGGAAGAGGCTCAGTCCACGCTGAATGAAACACGTTCTAAACGCACTGAAAACACTGGAAATGTGGAGGTTTCTGCCCAAACTGCTGCTGTTGGTGCTGGTGGCCCTGCCCGCCACGCTGCCGGGCCCGGGTGAGTTCTCCAGGCCCGTGAAGTAGTCGCATTCCCTGGGTTCGATCCCCTAGCATGAGCTGCTGTTAGCCGTTAGCTTGTCCAGGCCGCTCTCTGTCACATGTGCCGTTGCAGTTAGTTTTACTGAAAAAGTGTATTTCCTGCTCTTCTTAAAGACGGGTTGTTATTATCTACTGTCCTGGAGCAGGAAAAGTGTGGCGTATCCACTTATTGTCAGAAAGTCAGTGTGCAAAGTGCTTCAGTGTTTAGACTGACGTGTCCCTGGAATTAGCCGCTAATGCTATAGATATTCAGCACAGTCTCTAGTTGTTCTGAGCTTTTCAATGTGTAAATTGTTTTTGACGCGATGTTTTCACATGCAGTGTCTGCACTTTCGCCTTGGCCTTTAAATGCATTTCATTCAATGATTTTTGCACATACACGCAGACCACAATAGTAGTTTTGGTTTGAGTACGTGTTTTTTTTAGTCTCATCATTGATGTGTGTGATTTGTCCAACAGAAAATGTCAGTCCTCAACATGTTGTCTTCATCCTTTGTTTGAGAAAGAGCTATGTGAGTCACTATTCGCCACTTGGGGCTCATTGGCTGAGTGAGGGTGGTCCTCTTTCACTTTTCTGTCTGAAAAAGTTGATCAAAGAAAACTAGTGACGGTAGACTAGAGACGTGGTTATTGAGAATGAGGAGTCACGTGATAATTTGGGCGGGGTCTAATAGCGAACTATCTAAATGACGTCACTAAGACACGCCCCCGCCGCCTGTCAACTCCCGCCCACATGTTTCGGACAAACACTGCCGAAATGAATCAAATACCACTTGTCACTTTAGACGAAAATGATGATAAACCAGGGGCAAAATTCCACCATCAAACCATCAGGGATCATAGTGTAGACCAATTATAACGTTGGCTTGAATGTCGTGGTCTTCCAGTAACTGGTAGACGGTTTGAATTGATAAAAAGATAATGGTGAGGATTATGCTAACATTATCTAGTCATTTAAATTGCAATGCTAGCGCCTTCTTTGTTTGTTTTGCTGTGATTAACTTCCATTTATCAAGTTGTTTTTGCACTATCCACTTTGTAATTAGTTTGATCATTAGTTAGCTACAGTCAGCTGATATTATAATAAATCCATGATCACAACGGGTTACGCCACTGTCTCTGAGAGAAACTATCAGAGCTAGCCACACTCAGTAAACGCAAATGACAATCAATCAACACATTTAAATGTTAATGGGAGAATACATTATACACATTCATAACACAAGTGCACGGAGGTTTTCAGAATTAACTGTTCAGGTTTTCATGACAAAAATACTTTTTTAATGCGACTAAAGCGATCGCTTTTAGGTTAACTATCCTCACTGTTACTCGCCTGCCACGGGAAAACCTTTGGGAACTATTTTCTTTGCACTCATTAAATAAACCTTTCGGCATGAGTAGTGAATGACGTTTATTTTGTGTGTTCAATTGGTACAAAGCCGTATAATAAGCAGACACAAAGTTGAAAAAAATCCCTCTCATCTTTCTTCAGGTGTGAGAATTGTATACTTTCTGGATTAGGACAAACAATACTAATATGGATTGATGGGGGTAAATGGTGTAAAGAGAAAGTTTGTGCTAACTACATTCAGAAGAGCTCAGACGGACCTGATACAGCGGTCCAGGTCCAGTCCCAGCTAAACGTAGCTAGGACTGGATCTGGATTCTCCACAGTTGGTCCAGCGAAGTGTTTTGAAAAAACATGTGCCCTTTTTAACCTTTTCATGAGAGAAATTCTGCCGACCACAAGCACCCACCTGGTCTGATCTGGTCCTGGTCTGGTCCTGGTCTGGTCCGATGTTGTGGTTTAACGAACGGGTTGAATGTTACTTTCATATAGTCCTTTTCAGAGTATCTGAAATCGCTCCGACAAGCACCATAACTGCAGTGTTTTGTTGTCACCATGATTCAATGATTTAGCCCAAATAAATACACACGCGTATGAGGAGAACACAGTAGAACTCAACGAGTCGTACACAATGTTTGTCCGAAACATGCGCGCATGCGCAGTCATCTGAGCTATTTTTAGCACATTTCGGAAACCGGACAGTGCCCTATCCGGTCGGCCATGTTGATAGGATCCTCTATCGGTTGCCAGGGGCAACGCCACTAACTCTCAATATATAGCTACAGTCTATGCTAACGCTCCAGAGGTCTTTAACTTGAGCGGCCGTTTATTATTTCGGCAGTAGATAAATCTACGATTACAACACTAGCAAGACAGTTAATGGAGAAAGTGAAGGCGAAAGGAAATGGACCGTACAGGGAAAAGCAAAACAACGTTATTTGGAGAAGCTCTCAGACATACAACAGGTAGACCCATAAGAGCTTCCTGCAGCGGAGTGGTAAAAATACCTTGACTTTTTGCCTCCGTGCACGTACATGGATATAGTGAATTACCTTGTTTTCGGTGTTAGTAATTATACAATGCAGGAGTTTAGAAGTCAAGTCACTGGAGAGTTACGAGGCTTTCTGCTGTGGTTGGGTGCAGGACTTGGCCATCTACAAGCCTCCAGGCGGTGAAAACACTGTTGTACTTGCACTAACAGCAGTATTACTATTTTATTATTATGTTGTCCGTCTTTTCATGCTGAAATATTTATACGTTGACTGCACACGTTCTTTTGCACTGTTAACTTTTCCAAGAGATTACACCCCCCCCTCCAAAAAAAAATTAATTTCTCAATAAATATTGCTTTGCCACATGAAGTTGTTTCAAACATTTATTTCAAAGAAATTAAAAAGGCAAGGCAAGTTTATTTGTACAGCACAATTCATGTTACAAAACAATTCAAAGTACTTTAAATAAAAAATTAAGAAGCATTACAGCTGGGTGCAGAAGAAGCATTAAAAAGTAACAGAATAAAAAGCATGATTTAAAATTAAAAACAAAAATTCATAAGAAAAAGATAACAGATAAGTTTTTCCAGCTTAAAAGAAGCCGTGCAGATTTGTACATTAGAATAAAACATATTCAAAAGCAGCTGAGAACAGGTGGGTCTTTAACCTGGATGTAAACAAACTGAGTGTTTCAGCTGATCTGAGGCTTTCTGGGAGTTTGTTCCAGACATTTGGAGCATAGAAGCTGAATGCAGCTTCTCCGTGTCTGGTTCTGACTCTGGACTCGGATCCAGATGACATGAGGGGTTCTGGTTGGTTCATAAGTTATGAACAAGGCACTCAAACAACACTTTTGCACATGTTCGTTAAGGCACAGCAAACAGTGACAATCTTATCTAAAGGCATTAGGTTTTCACCCTCACATTTGAGAAGCATATGTACAGGTACAGTTGAATGTAAGAATTTGAATTTGTTGCGCACAACACCAATCACCCTCTCAACGTGAATTCTGAGATGGAAGGTCTAATCTGAGGCGCATTACAGTCAATAGGACAAGCTGGAAGGGTGAGAGCTTCCTCATCCTTCCTTGAGGCAGCTGCTGGGCCGGCGATGGGGGCTGCTGGGCTTGGGCTGGCGATGGAGGCTGCTGGGCTTGGGCTGGCGATGGAGGCTGCTGGGCTTGGGCTGGCAATGGAGGCTGCTGGGCTTGGGCTGGGAGTGATGACTCAGAATCAGAATCATTTTTATTGCCACGTAAGTAACAGGAGGTCACAGACTAGGAAATTGCTTTGGCTCAGTGCAACAGTCAAAAAGAGATAATAAAAATAAGAATAAAAAACACTTCTAAAGAATAAATTTAAATTTAAAATAGAGTTACAGTTACTATTTACAATATACAAGTGCACATGGTGCACACAATGTAAGGTGACAGCAGTACAGTGAAGTAAAGTGACGTATGATGGGCAGTAAAGTGACTTTATAAAGGGCGGGGGGACAGGTTAAGAAGTGTTCAAGAGTCCAACAGCAGAGGGGAAGAAACTGTTCTTGTGGCGGGAGGTTCTAGTCCTGATGGACCGCAGCCTCCTGCCTGAGGGGAGTGGTTGGAATAGTCCATGTGCAGGGTGAGAGGGGTCGGCTGTGATACGACCAGCCCGGCCTCGAGCTCGGGCGACGTACAGGTCCTGCAGCGATGAAAGGCTGCGGCCGATCACTTCTTCTGCAGAGCGCACAATGCGCTGTAGTCTCTGTTTGTCCCTGACTGTGGCTCCAGCGAACCACACGGTGATGGAGGAGGTGAGGATGGACTCGATGATGGCCGTGTAGAACTGCACCAACATCTGTGCAGGCAGCTTGGCTTTCCTGAGCTGCCGCAGGAAGTACATCCTCTGCTGGGCCTTCTTGATGAGGGAGCTGATGGTTGGCTCCCACTTGAGGTCCTGGGTGATGGTGGTGCCCAGGAAACGGAAGGACTCCACAGAGGTGATGGGGGAGTCCATCACGGAGGGTGGGGGTGGGGGGACAGTGCTCTTCCTGAAGTCCACAATCATCTCCACTGTCTTCTGGGCGTTCAGCTCCAGGTTGTTACCACAGCACCAGGACACCAGCCGGTCCACCTCCCTCCTGTAGGCGGACTCATCGTTGTTGGAGATGAGTCCAATGCATGGATCTATTATATTAACTGGATAGGGTATTACTAGCTTGTAGCTGAATAACTCACGTGCTCAGGGGATTCTCGCGGTACTGCAGACTGAACCAGACTAAATTCACGTGGGCTACCCAGAATTTTTCCCCATAGAACTCAATGCATAACAGCTCAACCTCAGCTGACAGAGAACCTACAGCTTTAATAAAGGTTGGATTTTGTGGGGATTTTAGTGTCCCTTGTCATCCTGAACTTTTTTTCTTCTTAAATCCTTCGGTTTTGTTTAAATCCACACTTTAGTGCCACAAACTCTGCTCCTCTGGCTCTCGCTCTAACTCCCGCTCTGATGAACTGCTCTGATTGGTCAGAGCGCGGCCGAGCCCCTCTGTGCACGTGCGTGAGACCCGGTGTGAGACCCACACACGCGTGTTTGGCGCAACGCATTATGGGAGATCATCCACTGCGCAGAACCGGGAGGACCAGACGAGGCCCAAATACAGGAGAGTTTCCCATAGATCTTTGCGAGTTTCAGGCAACTTCCGCTAATCTTTCAGCCCCCATGCCGTCACAAAGCGCCACTGAGCACAACCATTCATTTGAATAGGGCGCCATCTTGGATCGCCGGGGCTTGGTCCAATGAGGGTGGTGTCGTCCGCAAACTTGATCAGCTTCACGGAGTCGTGGCTGGAGGTGCAGTGGTTGGTGTACAGGGAGAAGAGCAGGGGAGAAAGAACACAGCCCTGTGGGGCTCCTGTATTTATAATCTGAGAGTCCGAGACATTCTTCCCCAGACGCAGTCGCTGCTTCCTGTCCGTCAGGAAGTCAGTGATCCACCTGCAGGTGGAATCGGGCACGTTGAGCTGGGAGAGCTTGTCCTGGAGCAGGGATGGCAGGATTGTGTTGAAGGCAGAGCTGAAGTCCACGAACAGGACCCTGGCGTAGGTCCCCGGGTGCTGTAGGATGTGGTGGAGGGCCAGGTTAATGGCGTCGTCTACAGATCTGTTGGCTCTGTAGGCGAACTGCAGGGGGTCCAGGAGGGGGGAGGTGAGGGACTTGAGATGGGAGAGAACCAGGCGTTCAAATGACTTCATGACGACAGACGTAAGTGCTACAGGTCTGTAGTCATTGAGTCCTGTGATCCTGGGCTTCTTCGGGACGGGTACAATGATGGAGGATTTGAAGCAGGCCGGGACATGGCAGGACTGCAGAGAGGTGTTGAAAATGTCAGTGAACACAGGAGTAAGCTCACTGGCGCAGTGTCTCAGAGTGGCCGGAGACACGTGGTCCGGGCCAGGAGCTTTGCGGGGGTGCAGCCTCAGGAAGAGTTGTTTAATCTCTTTAGCGGCTATTGTTAGGCTGGGGGCAGGGCTGATGGGTGGGTCGTTAGAGTAGTGGGGGGTGGGGGAGGGAGAGGTGTCAGGGGCAGCATCAAAGCGACTGAAAAATAAGTTCAGATCGTCAGCTAGCTTGTGGTCGTCAGCACATGGGGGGGCTTTGGGTTTGTAGTTGGTGATCTCCCGTAGGCCCCTCCAGACAGAAGCAGTATCGTTGTTACCAAACTGCTCCTGTAGTCGTTCTCTGTGCCGGGACTTGGCTGCTTTCAGTTCTCTCTTGAACTGATATTTAGCTGCTTTGTAGCCGCTGCGGTCCCCCTCCCTGAAAGCAGACTCCTTTGCTTTCCTGAGCTGCCGGAGTTTAGCAGTGAACCAGGGTTTGTCGTTGTTATAGATGACCCTGGTCCTTGTTGGAATGATGCTATCCTCACAGAAGTGAATGTATGACGTCACAGTGTCCGTATATTCATCCAAACTATCTGTGGCAGCTCTGAAAAGGTCCCAGTCTGTAGATTCCATGCATGCGCGCAGCTCTTCCACAGCTTCATCAGACCACACTTTGGGGCTCCTCATTGCAGGTTTCGAGAGCTTTAGTCTCTGTCTGTAAGCAGGAACCAGATGTATCATGGAGTGATCTGAGAAGCCGAGGGCTGGCTTGGGAACAGCGCGAAAAGCTCCGCGCACGGTGGTGTAACAGTGATCCAGAGTGTTCTCCTCTCTGGTCGGGCATTTGACTGCTCCAGATGCTGGGTCCTGCGCTTTACTTGCCGCTGATATCGCGCTCCATCTGTTTCTTTAACATTATTGTGGCCTAACCGCAAGGATGGTGTCCAATCAGGGTGATTCTCCAACATCTCATATGATGGTTTACCTAGAACAGAATAATCTATGTAGTCAATGCTTTAAACTGGCAACAAGGTAGCATAATGTCATGAACAGAATCTCAACTATTTTTAGCAATCTCATATAATGGTTTACTTACATCAGATTAATAAGATTATTAAACAATCTGGAATCTAAAGAAATATTAAACAAGAAGGTAACGCTATTCATGGTTTCATAAAAGGGCTCAGGGGGTAGTGGCAACACAAGACAAAAAAAAAGTATGGGCACCACCACTGGTTTAGAGAACATAAGAGACAGAGACAAACGCACTTTGAGTGCCCATATTCCACCAACAAGGTGGGATAATGAGCAGAAACTTAAATTTTCTTAGTTAGCATTTAATGGTTGGCCATTAAGCATTTTCATAGAGGCAACAGTTTGTTAGATAGTTAGCTAGGCAGCTAACTTAAGATGCACTTCAGAGTTTGCAACATTAACAGCTAGGTAACCTACACTTCTTAACTTAAAAAAAACAACATAAAGACATTTTAGGACGTACCCGAGTGAAAATGCAGAGAACACACTCTCATCGACTGGGGGGTGAGATCGAAAGTAAGGTCCTTTCTTCTTATTGCAGCCAACCAAGCCATCCGGCGTCTCTTCGTCAGGTCAGACACTTGCGCTCCCTGATGTTGTATCCATTTTGGTAGCCTAAACAATTGTAAACCGTTGTTCCTACGTTTTCCTTTCTTATTGTGTGAGGTACTGGAGCAGTTTTTAACACAGCAATGAGCTCCAGGCATGGTAAAACAGAAATAGCGACGACCTCCTTTGCTACCGAGTTAACAACAACAAGTGTTTGCCGCTGGGATCCTACCAACATGGCGGAGACGGGGAGGGTCTCTGTGCTATGACGACAACTCCTCACTCTCAATATTAGAGTTCTATTGGAGTGGTCTGAAAGTTACATACCTCAGTTTTAACAATACATTTTTAGATTAAATATCTAAATATGGTATCAATATTTAACATTACACATTCTTTCGAGTTTTTTGTTGAAAAGTGATACGATTCTTAGATATGGACCACACATTACACCTGTGTTCCTCAGGTACACTGGTCTGGGCTCAGGACCTCACTGAGGAAGAGGAGGCTGAGGCGGTGGATGAAGATGTGGTGGATGATGTCACAGATGATGTCGTTGCAGACGATGAAGACGATGAAGCTGAAGTGGAGGACGATGAAAACGCAGAGCTGGTGAGAGGTTTCTCAACATGCGGGATGAGAACATGGAACAGCTCCTGTCTCAGTCCTGTAGCAGTATGTTGTTATTCTAGCACTGTGACATCACTATCAGGTCTTGACATTAAGCTTTGTCAGCCACTTGCCCTTCGGGCAAGTACCATTTTATATTTTACTTGCCCGAAGTCAAAAGTTACTTACCAATAATTTCTCAATACAATGAGTTAACAAGAGTTTGGCAATCAAGTGGTGCTAAATGTGTTAGTTGTGTAGAGCTGCAACTAACGATTATTTTAATAATCGATTAATCTGTCGACTATTTCTTCGATTCATCGGGGAAAAAAAGCATTTTTAGTTTCCATCCCGTTATTAAAAAACGTGGCCTTGGATCAACACAAAGAAACATACAAATGTATGCAGTGCAGTATAAAGTAAAGTGCACAAAAACAGGTTTTGTTGTTTAACCCAACGAGACAAGACGCGTTTGTGTAATTAAGTAATTTTTAGGGTAATTGTACGTTGTTGAGTGCATATACTCAAAAACATTTTTATTTCAAAAGGCTGTAACTTAAAAGTGATAGGAGATAAAGACTTTCTGTAAATTACAGAATTATTAAGGATGGCAAAAAGTTGTATGTCGGGGATAAGTGTACCCATCTAATTAGCATATTATGACGTCATACGTCAAATGTGTCTCCCCTGCTCTCTCTCTTGTCTTCCCTGCTCTCTCTCGTCTCCCCCGCTCTCTCTCCTCTCCCCTGTCCTCTCTCTCGTCTAACACCAGACCATGTCTTCTCCAACACGTTACTGTCCCGGTGATGGCGGGAGGCACGATAATACATCTGTGGGAGGCACCATTTGCGGAGGTTTACCGGAGACTAACAGAGGCTGGAGTCGCGGCGCAGCGCCCCGACGTGACTTCCAGGCTTGTTTTCCGCAAATCTAACCAGTCTCTGAACCTCCCAATGACAGCCCTGACCCTGAGAAACACTGTTCCCACTGACTCTGTGCAAAGTGTCTAAAGTTAGTGCGGTGCAACACTCGCACGCTTCCTTCGCGTCGCTATTCTGCACTGGTTCAACGCAGTCTTGCTCGAATGAATGCCTCCACCATAGACTCTATTAAAAATGACCACCTTCGCCACACTCTGCTCTTCTTCTGTGGAGTTTTACGGCAGTGTGCATGCAGTGTTGTGTAGTTCTGTGGTGCATGTGCGTCCGTCCGCTCAACCATAGAACTACAAGAATGCGCCCAACTCGCGCGCTCGGTGACGTATTAATTGCACGACACAACGAATCGATAACCAATCAAATTCGTTGCCAACGCTTTTAATAATCAATTTTTATCGATATTGATTCGTTGTTGCAGCCCTAATTGTGTGTATTGAATACTTTCTTTTAACAATGGACCATGTTGTATTGTGTTCTTAATAAAGATTAATAATATATAATAATAATAATAAAAACTCCACTCTCTGCCCAAAAAGTCAAATAATGACTCCCAGGGCTCTTAAAGGGGACATATCATGAAAAATCCACTTTTTGTGCCTTAAATGCCTTATGTTGTGTAGTTGGAGCCTCTAGAAGGGCAAAAAAGTTGACATCAGTCTCTTCATGGGTTGCAGAGAACACTTCATATTCTGTTTAGGTAAGATATTTCAACCCGTTCTGATTTGAGACTGCTATATAAGGGCATGGGCGTCTAACAAAACACTTCGGCCCAGCCCTCCTCTACTGTGCATCACTTCAAATTTGTAGTCCAAGCTCAAGGATGCCAGCGAACAGGGCTGGACTGGCCATCGGACGTACCGGGCAATGCCCAAAGGGCCGATGTCCATATTTGGGCCGGTCTGTCTGCCTCATACAAAACACATGTTTATGAGAAGTGTAAATCCGTTTAATTTTTTGAGTGGGGCACCTGCTGTATGTACTCGAACGGGATTCCGCCGTGTTGTGGCTGAACGCGCAGCCTCAACGTGGCCATGTACCCAACCCCATAAACGCGCACAGGACCATGCGTGTCTTTGAGTAATCTGTGAACCCAATAAATACACTGCTGCAGGAAACAGTCCGCGTCTCCCCTCTCCTCTCGAAGCGCGATTAAACGCCCTAAATAAAGCTCTGATACCTACATTTTACATTGCATTAAAAGTTCATGTTCGAGCCCAAAAGTAATATGTTGTGAACAAATTAAACAGATTTAGAGCCAGCAAATGGCTGACAATATGCATTTCAGTCTTTTTTGACCACTTCTCATCCCTGTAACAAACAATAGTGTTGTCTGTGTCCACCTCCCTCACTCTGAGACATGTTTATAACTCTTGTAATGTAGACTATTGCATTTTATTTTATTGTTGAAACTGCACATATCCTGATCCTCTACAGTATTTGCTTCCACATACTGTATAAACTAGGAGTCTGCAACCTGCGGCTTCTGAAGGAAAAACGTTCTTAACGTTTTTAAATGCTGTAAAATTGTGCATAAGTAATATTCAATTTAAACATTTCTGTCACCGTAGTGCGTCATATCCTGCGACGTAGGCCCGCACCGGGCGGCCGCTACAAACCGGCGTGTGAGCATCATAGACTATGCGCATGTATCCCAAAGCTAAAAAGAGAAGAGTCGATAATAAGACTGGACTAAGAATGAAACTTAACATTTGCTTTCAGTCAATGAGGAAGGCCTGCTTCATGTTTGTGATGTAATGAGAAGTTTCTATGAGATAATTGTATCTGTGCTTAGTAACTACAAAAATGGCCGCTGTGTCACCTGGATGGGGGCGTGGTCAAAAGATAAGAATTCCTTTATTCGTCCCACAGTGGGGAAATTTCAATGTTGCTGCGCACATACAGTATAGGACAGTAGTAAGAGCACACAGGGAGCACACACAATATATACAAATAAGTAGTAGCTATGTTTCTTAGCTAACATAACTAGCTGTAGATGCTGGAAATGCTTCAATACCAGTCAAAATATATATATGTAGTAGTGCAGTTATATACTGTACAGTTAAATAGTGCAGGATAAAAAGTATATAAGTAAAGTGACATTGTTCTGTGACATCTTGAAGTTGCAGTATTGCACATTGCACATGATTTAAGAATTTACTTAATTACAAATGAATGAAATTTACAGGCTCAGCAGTTCTTATTGTACAGTCTGACAGCAGCAGGAAGGAAAGACCTACGGAACCTCTCCTTCACACAGCGAGGTGAATTAGTCTGTCACTGAAACTGCTCTCCAGAGCAGAGAGAGTGTCCTGCAGGGGGTGACGGTCATGGTCCAGCATAGATGTTAGTTTGCTCAGGACCCTCCTGTCCCCCACCTGCTGCACTGTGTCCAGGGAACAGCCCAGGACTGAGCTGGACTTCCTGATGACCTTGTCCAGCTTCTTCCTGTCCCTCTCTGTGATGCTGCTGTTCCAGCAGACCACACCGTACAAGATGGCTGATGCCACCACAGAGTCATAGAAGGTCTTCAGGAGTGGCCCCTGAACTCCAAAAGACCTAAGCCTCCTCAGCAGGTAGAGCCAGCTCCGGCCCTTCTTGAAGAGGGCGTCTGTGTTATGAGTCCAGTCCAGTTTGTGGTTAAGATGAACACCCAGGTACTTGTAAGAGTCCACTCTCTCGATGTCCTTTCCCTGGATGTTCACTGGGGCTGGAGCGGCAGAGTGACGTCTGCGGAAATCCACCACCATCTCCTTGGTCTTCCCCGCGTTGATGAGGTGGTTCCGCTGACACCAGTCCACAAAGTCCTGTATAACTCCTCTGTACTCTGTGTCATCGTCCTCGGAGCTGAGTCCGATGATGGCAGAGTCGTCAGAGAACTTCTGTAGAACACAACCGTCCGTGTTGTGTCTGAAGTCTCCAGTGTAGAGGGTGAAGAGGAACGGCGCGAGGACAGTTCCCTGGGGGGCCCCCACACTGCAGGTCAGGACCTCCGACACAAAGTCCCTGGTTCTCACAAACTGGGGTCTGTCTGTGAGGTAGTCCAGGATCCATTGGGACAGGCCGTAGTCCACACCGGCTGTCTCCATCTTGTCCCTGAGAAGCCGCGGCTGGATGGTGTTGAAGGCACTGGAGAAATCAAAGAAGAGGATCCTCACAGTGGAGCCGGGTGTCTCCAGGTGGGACAGGGAGCGATGGAAGAGGGAGATGATGGCGTCCTCGACTCCGATGCCCGGCCTGTAGGCAAACTGCAGCGGGTCCATCGCTGGGCTCAGAGTGGAGCGGAGATGTCCCAGGACCAGTCTCTCCAGTGTCTTCATGCAGTGGGATGTTAGAGCCACTGGCCTGAAGTCGCTGAGGACTTTGGCCAGTGGTTTCTTGGGCACCGGTACCACACAGGAGGTCTTCCAGATCTGTGGTACCGCCCTCATTTGCTTTTAAAGAGACAGCACCAAAACAGGTTGCTCTCAGACGCACCTCAGAACAGGTGTAGAAGAAAGGCCCGTGGAGCTACAAATAATGAGACTCAGACCCAGGTATTGCAGTTACGCTTTATATAGGCCACAAATGAATGATTTAAATGTAAAAATCAATTATTTGAAAACACGATATGTCCACTTTAAGTATGCAAAACAAAAAAACAAGACGCCTGTTGTGGTGTGTTCTATTGGATTTACTCAGCTCTATGTCTCACTGACTGCAGGAAAACATGGACCAGTGGACTCACTCCTTCACTGTATCCAACAGATCAGTGAGTGGATGCAAAACAACTTCCTTCAGCTAAACACAGACAAAACTGAAATGATTGTCTTTGGTCCCCAGAAACAAAGAGAGCATCATCTGTCACCTCCAGTCTCTCTCCCTAAAACCTTCAAACAAGGTCAGAAATCTAGGGGTAATACTGGACTCAGACTTAAATTTTAATAGCCACCTTAAATCAGTAACATCAGCTGAGGGATTGTATATTTAATAATTTTATCTTTCTTTTTAATGTACTGTGATTATTTATGATTTTAATGCTTTCTTATTTTTTGTTCAGCACTTTGAGTTGCCTTGTGTATGAATTGTGCTATACAAATAAACTTTCCTTGCCTTGGTGCACAACCAACATGCATTGTTAAATGCAAGGGTAAATTTTAGGTACCCGCGCTTTAATTTTGTGAGTGAATGCGCGTCTGTTTTCTGTCTGCGCTTCCCTCGTGTCTATGGTCCTGCACTCGCGTCTAAGATCTTGTCCGCACAGTCTATGGTACAAAGCGGCCACAGCTGCTGGGCTCAGAGCGGAGGAAGTGAATGCTGTTCGAGTAAGTAATGCAAACAACAGAAAGTGCCTGCAGTCACACATTTAACAGAAATGACGTTTTCAGCGGAAAAAAGTTGTAAATCCAGATGCATTTCATTGATCCAGACAATTTACTAACGAAGAGAATTATTCAAAAAACGAGAAACAGCAGGTCCCGGCTCCAGATGAAGAAATGTATTCCCAGCCTGAATGCGTTAAAGCAACACATCACTTGCCCGATCGGGCAACCTGCTAAAACGGCGCACTTGTCCGTCCCAATTCTTTACTTGCCCCGGGCAAGCAGACAACCGTTAATGTCGAGCCCTGACTATGACATCATACTCAGAGCAGTTTTCTGACTTTTAAAACAAAAGTATTGTCTAGATATCAGTTTTGGTGATCTCTCAGGTGAAGCACATACTTTACAATCACATGTCTGTGTTTACTGCTCCCTCTGCTGGCATCAGGCAGTTGTGTTTAGTTTGTGATGTTTCTGTTTCTGCAGGTAGAAGACAAAGAAGAGGAGGAGGAGGAGGCGCTGGTTGGAGAGATGAAGGCTTCTCCTCATGCGGACACCACCATCCTCTTTGTCAAAGGAGATGGTAAACACTGTTTTAAAGAACCGTATCAGATGCTTTGATGTTAGAGCCACATGAAGCACAGTGCTTTCATGTCAAACTTGCTTAAATCCTGAGTTCTAAAAGCTCCCACCAATATTTGGTGAGGACCAATGTGTCTCCACCAAAATGACATGATGTCCTGGAACCCGGACGGTCCGAGGCACATGTCTTCAGTTTGTGCATATCAGAACCATTTTTATTGCCACGTAAGTAACAGGAGTAACAGAAAGGGAGGTAAAGAGTAGAGAATGCTTCGCTTCCTCCTCGCCTCCTCTCTCTGCAGTGATTGGCTGTCTTCCTCAACACCAAACCCAAGCGCTGTGCTACCATTTACTTAGCCAGTCAAGTAAGGTAGACTGTGTGAAACATGTTTTTTGCTTTCCCTGAGGCTGAGCGTTGTAGCATGTAAAGTACTGAAGATCTAGATTATTGCAGAATATCGATACAGTGCCTTGCAAAAGTATTCGGCCCCCTTGAACATTTCAGGCTTCAAACAAAGATATAAAAAAATTATATTTTGTCATGAATCAATAAGTGGGACACAATCGTGAAGTGGAACCAAATTTATTGGATAATTTAAACTTTTTTAACAAATAAAAAACTGAAAAGTGGGGCGTGCAATATTTTCATTTCAGTGCAGCAAACTCACTCCAGAAGTTCAGTGAGGATCTTTGAATGATCCAATGTTGTCCTAAATGACTGATGATGATAAATAGAATGCACCTGTGTGTAATCAAGTCACCTGCTCTTTGATAGTCTCAGGGTTCTGTTTAAAGCACAGAGAGAACCATGAAGACAAAGGAACACACCAGGCAGGTCCGAGATACTGTTGTGGAGAAGTTTAAAGCCGGATTTGGATACAAAAAGATTTCCCAAGCTTTAAACATCAAGGACCACTGTGCATGCAATTATATTGAAATGGAAGGAGTATCAGACCACTGCAAATCTACCAAGACCCGGCCGTCCCTCCAAACTTTCATCTCAAACAAGGAGAAGACTGATCAGAGATGCACCCAAGAGGCCCATGATCACTCTGGATGAACTGCAGATAACTACAGCTGAGGTGGGGGAGTCTGTCCATAGGACAACAATCAGTCGTGCACTGCACAAATCTGGCCTTTATGGAAGAGTGGCAAGAAGAAAGCCATTTCTCAAAGATATCCATAAAAAGTCTCGTTTAAAGTTTGCCACAAGCCACCTGGGAAACACACCAAACATGTGGAAGAAGGTGCTCTGGTCAGATGAAACCCATCCCCACTGTCAAACATGGTGGTGGCAGCATCATGGTTTGGGCCTGCTTTTCTTCAGCAGGGACAGGGAAGATGGCTAAAATTGATGGGAAGATGGATGGAGCCAAATACAGAACCATTCTGGAAGAAAACCTGTCTGCTAAGACCTGAGACTGGGACGGAGATTTATCTTCCAACAGGACAATGATTCAAAACATAAAGCCAAATCTACAATGGAATGGTTCACAAATAGACGTATCCAGGTGTTAGAATGGCCAAGTCAAAGTCCAGACCTGAATCCAATCGAGAATCTGTGGAAAGAGCTGAAGACTGCTGTTCAAACGCTCTCCATCCAACCTCACTGAGCTCGAGCTGTTTTGCAAGGAAGAATGGGCAAGAATTCCAGTCTCTCAATGTGCAAAACTGATAGACATGCCCCAAGCGACTTGCAGCTGTAATTGCAGCAAAAGGTGGCGCTACAAAGTATTAGCGCAAGGGGGCCGAATAATATTGCACGCCCCACTTTTCAGTTTATTTGTTAAAAAAGTTTGAATTATCCAATACATTTTGTTCCGCTTCACGATTGTGTCCCACTTGTTGATTCTTGACAAAATTTTTTACCCACAACCAAACGATGGCGATCTCAGCGGAGTGGCCTGAGAAACCACAGCGGTCTCATTCTGCTTCTTTCTCTTCAGAACAAAAACATTAGCAAACCGAGCTGTTTGAGCTCATTACATGTGTTTCTACTGTAGGTTTATGTGATAGTTCTATGAACTCATCGTTTCAACTCATTTCACTGTGATGTTGTGATTAACTCATTGACTGCCAGCCTATTTCAGAACAGGTTCTCCCATATTGCCAGCCGTTTCTGATGATTTTTACTGATTTTTCAAGACCCACAGAATATTGTGTACTATGACTATCTGAAATCCCCTGTAATCCCCAGTCAAATAGAGGGCAAATTTACTGAAATCACCAGAAAGTTGAGGAAAAAGAGGCACAACATGTGCATCTGGCTGTTTTCAAACCATTCAGAGAGAAATGCTGCCACCTGCTGGCTCGATAAAATATGGTCTCAAGCCATCCCCATACATAATAGAAACAATAGACATCTGGGAACGTAAAAATAGCGGGACACGCAATTGACGTGTTGGCGGTCAATGAGTTAAAGACACAGTTCTTGTTGGAAACAGTTATTATTAAATTGTATTCAGCACAAACAGAAAAACAATAAGTGGTAAATATCTGAGACAGACATGAACTATTTACAATTGCAGGTTCAAACAGACTGGAACAGTGCAAAACAAACGACTGCACAGTTTATATATGTTAGATATGCAACAGAACTCTAGTCCAGTCTCCACGGATATCAGGCTCTGAGCCACGAGCCCAAACTGCTTTTCCTTCGGTTCCTTCGAAGCACAAAGCAGTCTGCTCCGAAGTGTGAAAGTAATCACACACGGACCAATCACAGCGGAGCTTCGTTACGGCGCCGGCTGCGTAGTTAGACATTTTCGAGGGTGTGCGGCAGGCTACGTAAGGGCCTTGCGGTGATCCACGTGTTGAGCAAGTGACGTCACCTCTGTAAGTTCCGCGTGTCTATACACTAGGCTTTATACTGTGAACCATCAGATGTACAGGGGTAGATGATGGTGCGGGTGGCAGTGCTGTGTGTGTCCCGCTGAAGGGCTCTTGTTTTGGTCCGCGCTGGCACATGTGGGAGGCAGGCATTGCTAGGCCTGTCGCGATATTCAATAAATCAATTAATCGCATGATAATTAAAATTATCTCGATGATTTTTATGGCCGCAATAAATTCCATTTGCATGCTTGTTTGTTTTCCTCGTCTCTCTCTCTCCCGCTCTCACGGGTCAAAGAGCCGCAAAGTGGTCACGGGAACATTAGCGGTATAGCGAGCAGACTGAAAATACTCAAATACAAAATACAGCCAAAACAGGACCTAACCAAGATTGACAATGGAGAACACAATGCTTGTGAACCTATAGTGCATCCGAAAAGTATTCACAGCGCTTACATTTTTTCACATTTTATGTTACGGCCTTATTCCAAAATGGATTCATTTTTTTCCCCCTTAAAATTCTATCCAAAAAAATGGTTTTCACCTTGTCATTATGGGGTTTTATGTAGATATTGGCAAATGTATTACACAAAAAAACGAATAAATGTAAATAAGTATTCACCGCCTTTGTCATGAAGCTCAAAATTGAGCTCAGGTGCATCCTGTTTCCACGGATCATCCTTGAGATGGGCGACAGTAGCTCAGTTGGTAGAGCATTGGCCTTAAGGCCAGAAGGTCGTGGGTTCAATTCCCACCTCTACACCTTCTCCACCGACTCCCACTGATGACTGCTGTCGTTGTGTCCTTGGGCAAGACACTTAACCCCACTTTGCCCAAAGCCCCCACTGAAAGATCAAGGCTATGCTCACACTCAGAGAGCAGCCGTCCTCCTGTGGACTCACCACCTGCAGAGGGTCAGTGAGGGGCTGGTGCTATGAGACTTGGGTGGTATCTCTGATTGCCACCCCCCTGACCCAGAAATGGATCAAAGGGAAGAAAATGGATGGATGGATGGATCCTTGAGATGCTTTGACTGCTTCATTGGAGTCCTCCTGTGGTAAATTCAGTTGATTTGACTTGATTTGGAAAGGCACCTGTGTATATATAAGGTCCCACAGTTGACAGTGCATATCAGAGCTCAAACCAAGCATTGTCTGTAGATCTCCGAAACAGGATTGTCTCGAGGCACAAGTCTGGGGAAGGGTCCAGAAAAGGGTACTGCTTTGAAGGTCTCAATGAGCACAGTGGGCTCCATCAGCCGTAAATGGAAGAAGTTTGGAACCACCAGGACTCTTCCTAGAGCTGGCCGGCCATCTAAACTGAGCAATCAGGGGAGAAGGACCTTAGTCACGGAGGTGGCTAAGAACCCGATGGTCACTTTGTTTAGAGCTCCAGCGTTCCGCTGTGGAGAGAGGAGAACCTTCCAGAAGGACAACTATCTCTGCAGCAATCCACAAATCAGGCCTGTATGGTAGAGTGGCCAGACGGAAGCCGCTTCTTAGTTTGGAGTTTGCCAAAAGGCACCTGAAGGACTCTCAGACCATGAGTAAAAAACTTCTCTGGTCTGATGAGACAAAGATTGAACTCTTTGACGTGAATGCCAGGCGTCATGTTGAGTAAACCAGGCACTGCTAATCTCCAAGCCAATACCATCCCTACAGTGAAGCATGGTGGTGGTAGCATCATGCTGTGGGGATGTTTTTCAGCGGCAGGAACTTGGAGACTAGTCAAGATAGAGGGAAAGATGAATGCAGCAATGTACAGAGACATCCTGGATGAAAATCTGCTCCAGAGCACTTTTGACCTTAGACTTGGGCGATGTTTCATCTTTCAGCAGGACAACTTATGTACATGTGGTTTCTTAGTTTTTTTATTTTTAATAAATTTGCAAGAATCTCAACTTTTGCATGTTGTCATTATGGGGTGTTGTGTGTAGAATTGTAAGGAAAAAAATGAATTCAATCAATTTTGGAATAAGGCTGTAACATAACAAAAGTTCTTATTCAGGCTCCTCCAGAGTTGTTCCCCAGGCCAGCTGAGAGACACAGTCCCGCTGTGTCCTGGGTCTTCCCCTGGTGTCCTCCCAGTGGGATGGATGTCTATTGAATTTATGGTTTATATAAAATGTTAACTCGGCTAAAACAATGTTGCAGAAGAAACCAGTCAAGTAGTTCCTCCATTAGCTCTGCCCCTATTTCCACATAGGCCCGTAAGATCTCCCCGGGTCTGTAATCTGTGTTTGTTTCAGATTTTCCTTCCAATAACATTGTGAAGTTCCTGCTCGGCTTCACAAACAAAGGCTCAGAGAACTTCATGATTGAGTCTCTGGACGCGTCGTTCCGCTATCCTCAGGTTTGTTTGTGTGTGTGTGTGGATTGCATTGGGTGTTGTATATTCAATGACCTCTTGCATTGGGGGTGGTTGCAGGATTACCAGTTCTTCATTCAGAATTTCACGGCGCTGCAGCTCGGTGCTGTTGTCCCACCGTCGCGTCAGGCCACGTTCGAGTACTCGTTCATCCCCGCGGAGCCCATGGGGGGGCGCCCTTTTGGACTCGTGGTCAACCTCAACTACAGGGATGCTGAGGTGAGGCTTTAGGACCCTCATGTTGATGTGATTGTCAGATTAAACAATTAGATCTTCAAAGCCTGCATTATCATTAGAAATTTCCCCTCTGGGACGAATAAAGGATCTATTAGCACATTAGCTTTAGCACATTAGCTCCTGTTCTTTAGTTGAAGGAGACCACATTGTTGAGATTCAGATCAGTGACTTTTGTGTTTTCTGTTTCAGGGAAACGTCTTCCAGGACGCAGTGTTTAACCAAACTGTGACAATCACAGAGAGAGAAGACGGGCTGGACGGAGAAACGTGAGATACATGCTCCACGCACAGCGGGGGCGGGTCCTGGCTCAAAAGTGGCCAAAATGACGTGCGCTGACATGCTTTCAAGCTGGCTCTTGGCGCAAAGCTCCGTTCCACATGTGTCAATGCTGAGGGGGGTGAATTTTTTTGGACCACTCTAGTTCACTTGCTGTGAAATTTTGAAGTCTCTCGTTCAAATGAATGGACGCATGCGCAGATGCGTTTTTTCACAATTTTCTTGTGGGCGGGACCACTCGCGGCCATTTTAGATAGCTCCAGTAGAGCATTTTTTGGCCCATTAGTTAGAACGTCGGAGATAGGCGTGACTACGTCAATTATTTTTTACAGTCTATGAGCGAGAGGGGCGCTCGCCCACAGAGCGAGATGAGATTTTAGGCGCGGCTAAGTGTTTTGTCAGATTGTCTTTAAAGCCTCCTGTCTGATTGACCTTTGACCTTCTGCAGGATCTTCATGTACGTGTTCCTCTCTGGGCTCAGTCTGCTCGTGGTGGTGGGTCTGCACCAGCTTCTGGAGTCCAGGAAGGTACTTTACCCTCAGTCAGCAGGACCTCAAGTAGGGTTTCCCCTGCTCCTCTCCTCTGCTCCTGTCTGTTTCACGTGACCGGGTCTCGGGCCCTGGTTGGTCTGAGTCTAACTTGTGTTGTGTTCAGAGGCGGCGTCCTGCTCCTAAAGTAGAGATGGGAACAGCGAGTCATAACGACGTGGACCTGAGCTGGATCCCCCAGGAGACACTGAACCAGATCAGTGAGTGCCCCCTGCTGGACGCACACACTCATGAATACACATGTGCACCAATACAGAGTAGTAGAGGAGGAATCAGACGACCAACTCTGGTCCTGACTTGTGTATTTGAGGCGTGTCAGACTAATGTCACAGTCTGAGCGTCCAGACAGAAGAGGCGGCAGGATACGAAACGCCCGCAACTGTCCAGTCTCTCCCCTTCGTCTGTCTGTCTCTGTCCCGTCTATCTGTCCCTTCGTCCGTCTGTGTCAGTCCTTTTGTCTGTGTCTCACTCTTTTCTCTTCTGTTTCCGCTGCTGCTGTCTCCAGTGCAGAACCGCAGAGGTGAGACTAGTAACCTACAGACCAGTTTCTATTTGAAACAGTTCTTATGTGTTGCCGTGATTAATACATTTTGTAAAGTGTATCTCAAATTTTTTTAGACAAAGCTTCTCCAAGGCGATCTCCACGGAAACGAAACCAGAAGCGCTCAGCCGGTTCAGATGAGTGACCCCGCCTGTTGTCTCCATACATACAAGTGACCCTGCCCCTGCCTGGTGTCAATGTGGCTATGAGTGGCCCCAGCCCGCCTGGTGACTTTGTGGTCACGCACTGAAACAGTTTTGTCCGGTTCTGAATGTGATTTTGTTTTTGCTGTTTTACTTTTTCTACGACTTTGATTCACCTTTGTCAAAAACCACTTTTTACAGATAACAGTAAAACTCTGAGCTGTAATTACTTACACTCCAAATGTCTTTTATGGTTAAGGAAAAACAATGTTTTTTTTTGAATGCTGCAAATTGAAATGTCAACAATTGAAGCAACCGCAAGTTTATTGATAAATTCCCAAGATTCAAATCTCTACGGTTTAGTATGTGTCTGAAACACTGGTGTAAATACAGGGATCAAAACACATTTATTTATTTAAAACTGTTTGTACTGAAGTTTGGAGCAGACAAGGGAAATGTGGATTTAAACCTGTAGTTTAGCTCCACACTCACCCTCCTGTCTGAATGCAGCTGTCGTGCTTTGTCCCTGATCTAATAAAAGTTTTCACAAACTACATTTCAATATAAGAGACTATGATTTTTGATTGTGCAGAAGAGGTTTCAGAGCGACTAATTTATTTAAATTAGTCTTCAGCGAATGTGTGAACTGTTTCTCATACTTTGGGCCCTCAACCAGAATTAGTGTGTTGGCCTGGCTGTTCCTCTGGGTCTAGTTTGACTGGCCCTCCCACAGAGCTGACCAGTCTGCTCCAAACTACACATGTCGTCTTCAGATTCAGGACAAGGATTTTCTAATCATTTGGTGAAAGATTAATTTCTTTTGATGCAAAAGAATAAAGATGGATGAAAATGTGTGTTTACTCCTGGAAGCGGCGCCAGCCCTACAGATATTAAAACTCACGCTCAGGATGTAAAATAGTTTATTTTCTGTAAATGATTCTAAATCTGACCCATTTCCCAAAACAAAAGCTCACTGCATTGTGAATAAAAAAACGAAGGTGTATTTACAGTCCCATCTCACGAGGACAAACCACACGACCGATGTCACTCCATAGACATGATGCTTCTCATTTACACATATTTACAGACTCCGGTTTTACAAAATATCTTCATTAATAAATACAAAAACAAAACGAGAAAAAGGATTATTTTACAGATTCAGCGTCCGGAGCCAAGAGCAATTTAGTGCAACGTACTTTACATCTGCTGCTTTGTACACAACATAAACTCTACAGAGGACCAGCCTCCAAGCCCCGCGCACAGAGCTGTCGAAGCCCTTTACCCAAGCGACTCGGGAAGATCATCCAAGCCGCGTATCTCACGTGTTGTTGCATTGGTTGTGTGTCAGTTGTGTGTTCAGTTCATCCACTTGCGACAATTGACAGCGCCGCAGTGACAAGGGATCTTGTGTTGGTCGTCTTCAAAGTCAAACTTGTAGTCATAGCTCAACTAGAAACAAAAATGAGAAAATCAGAACAACAGTAGTAGTATTAATAGACAGTAACAGCAGTAGTACTACAGAAAGTCAAAATTTCGACTTTTCAACTGCGCATGTGCAGTTGAAAACTCGTATGTGTTGTCTGGAACGGTCTCTGGACGTCCTTCACCTGCAGATTATGAGAAGATATTGCCGACAGTGACCACTGCATCCTTGAAGTAGCCAGAAATAATGTTGTTTGATTGATTCTGTAAAACTTTCCTGTTTAAGCCCAGACCGCGGTCGTAGGAGGCAGGGAGGAGCTGTCTTTTTATTTATTTATGTTAAATTCAATTTACATATATACAACATTTAAATCAAACAACTTCTTATTTCGACATAGTAACAAATAATGTGAGCAATATGTTTTTATAATAAATCAAAGGAAAATGAGCCATCGAGACATTCCAATCCAGTCTGCTATAGACCACTCTGACCAGACGATGGCGCTGAGAGGGGTCCATCCGGAGCAAGTCTTTCCACGGCTGAAATGATGCACTTTCTACGTGTTGTGTACGGGGTTTTATTCATGCATCTATAATGGGTTTAACTCCCTTTTCAAAGACCCTCACTGTTATCTGCGGAGTTATTCCTCCGGATTGTTGCGAAAAGAGTCGTGGGCTTTATTTTGTCACAAAAAAATAATCAGACAAGGTACTTATTCCCTGTATGTCTGTGTTCTTGCTCATGGCAAGGCAAGTTTATTTGTATAGCACAATTCATACACAAGGCAATTCAAAGTGCTGAACAGAACAAGAAAGCATTAAAATCATAAATAATCACAGTACATAAAAAAAAAAAAAAAAAAAAAATATATATAAAATCCCTCAGTTGTATGCACAGCTAAACAGAACCGTCTTTAACCTGGTTTTAAACATTGTCAGAGAGGAGGCCTGTCTCACATCTTCAGGAAGACTGTTCCAGATTTTAGCAGCATGAATCTGAAAAGCAGCCTCCCCATGTTTAGTTCTGACTCTGGACACTAACAGAAGTCCAGTCCCTGTGCTCCTCAGAGTCCGGGCTAGTTCATATGGGACTAACATGTCACTAATATAGTTTGGTGCGAGGCCATGGAGAGATTTGTACACAAATCATACGCCAACAACTTTACCCGCATGCTCGCTCCATCAGCTCACCCCCGCGTGCACGCAAACACGTCACATACTCTTCAATGCACTGATCGCAATTCCAAAAGGTTTAATATTGTCAGTGCCCGTGACTGTGGTTCTCCTGCCTCTGTTTGTGGTTCTCCTGCCTCTGTCTGCGGACCTCTCTCACTGTCCTGTAATCGCGAACGGTCTCTCTGTCAGTCACAATATCGTTCACTGCATTTCTGGTGCATCCATTGATAGCCGGGATACTGACCAGATGTCACCAGTTGATGCTCAATGACTTTGAACAGCCGTGTGTGTTTTAGTGTTTTAGTGTGTGTGTTTTAGTGTGTGTGTGTGTGTGTTTTAGTGTGTGTGTGTGTGTGTGTGTGTGTGTGTGTGTGTGTGTGTGTCACCAGTTACATACAAGAAATAGCATTATGGTAGAACTGTGACAAATGTAAACAATAAAACACACACAGAAATTGTTCAATTTAGGAAAGGTTTACAGGGAAAAAAGATAAAGGAATGTATGATATTAGCTTGACAGTTATGATTTTGAGAACTAGTTCAACTTAGGGCTGGGCGATATGGCAAAAAAAAAAAATCTCCGATTTTTTCACACCAAATCCGATTTTCGATTTTAATCGATTTATTTTTTTCTATTTAAAAACAAACTACAACTGACAAAGAAATAGATTTTCCTTTATGCAGTTTAATCTAAATCCCCATGGAGCATAAGTGTAACAGGAATTAAGCCTTAAAACATGCTTGTAAACGAGATGGCTCTGCCATTGTAAACAGTGAAAATGTAGCTTAACAGTTTTATAATAACTTCACTTACAATGACACTATGCACCTTCAAAATAACTTAAATCACACAAACAAGGCCCATCGCAAATATATCAATCCTATTAAACACATGCATTATTTACATGAAATATCACATTTTTAAAACTGATTACTCAAAATAGAAATGTTGTAACAGTCTTTTCCAAAAGCCTCCTCTGGTTTTCATGCTTGTTCTTTCAACTGTGCCTGAGTAACTGTGCTGTAGTACAACGCTCGGTCCAGCTGGTGGCGCTAATACTAACTTCAGTGACTCCCTGTTTACATTCTGATGCTGTAGCTAACAGCTACTGTAGCTAGCAGCTACTGTAGCTAGCAGCTACTGTAGCTAACAGCTACTGTAGCTAACAGACAGCGGGGAACACGTTGTTTGTATCAGAGCAATGAGAGCAATGTGTGAGACGTGTCTTTCCCCAAAGTGCAGCGGCTCAGTGGGACACGAGTGTGTGCGCGCCACGGACACGGGAGTGCGCTTTGGAATAACGAGCGTGAGAGAGCGTGAAAGATGTGGCGTACGGACATAACAACCGGAGCCTGCGTGCGTGTGTGTGTGTGTTCTGACGATTACATAAAGTCTGATTCTTGAACGTTTGAAGTGTTATTGCAACAGCACCAACTGTGAGAGCGAGCCTCAGGCCAGAGGGAGACTGTTAGCATTAGGTTAGCTTCAAAATGACTGCTCAACACCATAGACCCGCGGTTAGCGCGTTAGCGCTGTAGTTCTGCGCTGGAGAAAATAAAAATCGAATTTTTAAAAAAAGAAATCGCCCTAAACGTAAAACTCGAATTAATGATTAAAATCGATTAATCGCCCAGCCCTAGTTCAACTATTTTGCATGTCATGACCAAAGCGATGAAATGACGACAGTTTTATAGTGAATGACTATTCGGAAGTCATAAGTATGTTTCATTTTGACTGACAGGACAGAAGCAAATGATTATGTTAAAAAACAGCATAGAATTGTATGAAAGTAACTGATACATGAACAAAAGCATTTGAAATGTGTTCATAGGAATGAGAAACTGCCATGATGATGTGCACCAATGACTCAATGTTGTGGAGGTTGAACTAATAGTTTTGAGAAGTTTAAGTCTGATGTGAGAAATGCACCAAAGCGACTGAGAAAAACTGTAATAGACAGTAGTAGTATTAATAGACAGTAGCAGTAAAAGTAGTGGTAGTACCTCCTCTCCTCTCTGGATCCTTCTGCAGGAGCTGATGATGATCTTGTTTTCCTTCTCGATGCTCACCACTTCAGTGATGCAGTTTGGGGAACACGAGTGGTTTATGTATCTGAGAAAAAGAAAGTATACAGACATACTGAGACATTATATATATATATATATATATATATATATATATACATACCTGGCCGGTCCCCCGGTGATGGTTGCGTCGATCACATAATCATTGTCGATTCTAAACATGTAAACCCCACGATTCTAGAAGAAAAAGGATATCAGTGTTTAATCCACGCTGTACCCGTGACTCACTCTGTACCTGTGATTCGTAGAGGCGCTCTTTGCGATTGGCCACTTCACTGCGGATGATGGTCCCGATGTACTCGATCACCATGGTGCACTTCTCTATGTCCCGAGCAGCGTAGAGACCCAGGCCCTGAGGAGTGACCAGGGTGAGACCAAGACCAGACTGAAGAGAGACCAGGGTAAAACTAGGACCCCCCCTCCCTCACCCCTCCCCCTTGCCCTCAGGTTGGCTGAGGCTCACCTGGATGCGTGAGCGGGCCAGGTACACATTGGTCTTCCACTCGGCGGTCATGCGTCGGTACTGGGAGGCCTTGGAGTGTCGTCCCTGGTGAGCGCTGGACACAGCATCTCCAGGAGACAGGGAGAGGACCCCAGGGACTAGTCCAACGATGGCCCCCACCGAGCCCTGGCATCGGGGGGCTGCACTGGTCAGGAACGTGGGCCTGACGAGCAACGGAACAGAGGAGCTGAAGACAGGGCATTTTGGCTCTGATTAACAAACATTTTGGCTCAGGTGAACAAGAGTGTTTACCGTTTGGCCTGAGATGCCTTGGGTTCGGAGCGCGCCGACCCGCTCGGGTTGAAGGCGAGGGGCCACTCCATCAGGGGGTTCTTCCCAAAACGGAATGAGTACCGCTCACAGGCCTCCACACCAGGGAGCTGCAACAAGAGCAGAGAGACATGAGACCAGAACATGATCGCATGAATATTTTACTTTTTTGACTTTCTGTTCAAACTATACGCATTATATTTATGAGACTAAACTTTTGTCCCCGGGCTTTAACCGTGCTGACGTACCGACTCGATGATGCGGGTGACCGCTGAGGTGGTCAGACCGAACAGTTCTTCTCCTTTCAGATAAACAGGGAACAGCTTCAGACTCTCTGTGGATAATCTCATCGCAGCCAGCGGCTCCAGGACCTGCTCCCACACGGCTGAAACACAGGAAAGACCGGGGTCAAGACCGAGCTCAAGAACACACTTAAGGTACAGTGCCTTGCGAAAGTATTCGGCCCCCATGAACCTTTCAACATTTCGCCACATTTCAGGCTTCAAACATAAAGATATAAAAATTACATTTTTTGTCAAGAATCAACAACAAGTGGGACACAATCGTGAAGTGGAACAAAATTTATTGGATAATTTAAACTTTTTTAATAAATAAAAAACTGAAAAGTGGGGCGTGCAATTTTATTCGGCCCCCTTGCGCTAATACTTTAGCGCCACCTTTTGCTGCAATTACAGCTGCAAGTCGCTTGGGGTATGTCTCTATCAGTTTTGCAGATCGAGAGACTGGAATTCTTGCCCATTCTTCCTTGCAAAACAGCTCGGGCTCAGTGAGGTTTGATGGAGAGCGTTTGTGAACAGCAGTCTTCAGCTCTTTCCACAGATTCTCGATTGGATTCAGGTCTGGACTTTGACTTGGCCATTCCAACACCTGGATACGTCTATTTGTGAACCATTCCATTGTAGATTTGGCTTTATGTTTTGGATCATTGTCCTGTTGGAAGATAAATCTCCGTCCCAGTCTCAGGTCTTTTGCAGACTGCAACAGGTTTTCTTCCAGAATGGTTCTGTATTTGGCTCCATCCATCTTCCCATCAATTTTAGCCATCTTCCCTGTCCCTGCTGAAGAAAAGCAGGCCCAAACCATGATGCTGCCACCACCATGTTTGACAGTAGGGATGCTGTGTTCAGGGTGATGAGCTGTGTTGCTTTTCCGCCAAACATATCGTTTTGCATTGTGGCCAAAAAGTTTGATTTTGGTTTCATCTGACCAGAGCACCTTCTTCCACATGTTTGGTGTCTCTCCCAGGTGGCTTGTGGCAAACTTTAAACGAGACTTTTTATGGATATCTTTGAGAAATGGCTTTCTTCTTGCCACTCTTCCATAAAGGCCAGATTTGTGCAGTGCACGACTGATTGTTGTCCTATGGACAGACTCTCCCACCTCAGCTGTAGTTATCTGCAGTTCATCCAGAGTGATCATGGGCCTCTTGGCTGCATCTCTGATCAGTCTTCTCCTTGTTTGAGATGAAAGTTTGGAGGGACGGCCGGGTCTTGGTAGATTTGCAGTGGTCTGATACTCCTTCCATTTCAATATAATTGCATGCACAGTGCTCCTTGAGATGTTTAAAGCTTGGGAAATCTTTTTGTATCCAAATCCGGCTTTAAACTTCTCCACAACAGTATCTCGGACCTGCCTGGTGTGTTGTCTTCATGGTTCTCTCTGCGCTTTAAACAGAACCCTGAGACTATCAAAGAGCAGGTGCATTTATACGGAGACTTGATTACACACATGTGCATTCTATTTATCATCATCAGTCATTTATGACAACATTGGATCATTCAAAGATCCTCATGAACTTCTGGAGTGAGTTTGCTGCACTGAAAGTAAAGGGGGCAAAAAATATTGCACGCCCCACTTTTCAGTTTTTATTTGTTAAAAAAGTTTAAATTATCCAATAAATTTTGTTCCACTTCACGATTGTGTCCGACTTGTTGTTGATTCATGACAAAAAATTAAAATTTTATGTTTGAAGCCTGAAATGTGGCAAATTGTTGAAAGGTTCAAGGGGGCCGAATACTTTCGCAAGGCACTGTATAAGGTCAAGACTGGTCCTAAGACCAAGTCTTAGACCAGCAGTGGTCTTCAAGACCGGGTTTGTGTGTGGTACCTTTGGGAGTGGCTCCGGTCAGCACCAGGTCCTCGTGTCCTTTCTCAACCACTTTGATCTTGAACAGCGGCTGAGCGTCTTTCTCCTCAATGTAACACATGTACTTACACCTCCTGCAGAGAAAGAGAGGAGGTGAGAGAAGGGGAAAGAGGAGGTGAGAGGAAAGAGTGAGAAGACAAAGTGAGAGGAGACTGCCGTGAGGTCCAGTCTGACCGATGACCCCTGTGAGCTCGAGTACGGGTTGGTACCTGTGGCGGTTGCGCATGCTCCAGTAGAGGCGGTTGGCATGGTAACCTACAGGGAAGATGGCGGTGTTGCTGTGGAAACGGCCGAGTTGCGCGGGCAGCAGCCTCCCCACAGCTCGAAACAGAAGAGAGCCAACCCTGAAGGTGTGCTGGCGCTCGCCGCGCTGCACGATGGCAGCGATCTGCCGCGCCTCGTCCCTCTGCACGTACACACGCCGAAACACAGCAAAGCAGCGCAGCTCACAGTCGTACGGGTCAGAGGGGGCGGGGTCAAACGGAGAGGAGGAGGGGCTTAGAGCCAGAGAGCGAGGTTTGTGGAGGTGGCACAGCATGGTCTTATCCTGCAGGTCAGACACAAAAAGATCAGATGAGTGTGTGTGTGCACTCGTACATGTGTGTGTACTCGTACATGTGTGTGTACTCGTACATGTGTGTGTGTTAACTCCTACATGTGGGTGTACACGTACGTTTGTGTGCATACTCGTAAATGCGTGTGTGCGCAGTCGTACATGCGTGCGTGTGTGTGTACTCGTACATGCGCGCGTGTGTGTGTACTCGTACATGCGCGCGTGTGTGTGTACTCGTACATGCGCGCGTGTGTGTGTACTCGTACATGCGCGCGTGTGTGTGTACTCGTACATGCGCGCGTGTGTGTGTACTCGTACCTTGAAGAAGGTGCAGTGTGCGGCGATGGCGCAGCTGAAGTGGTATGTGTTGGTGCAGCGGAGGCGGTTGCAGCCGCTGGTGGCGCCGGTGTGGTGACAGTGCGCACAGCGTACGGTGAGGCCGCGCCTCAGCGCCAGCTCCACATTTATCAGAGCGCCAGCCTGAGTCTCATACACCTCTGAGGACCAGAGCGCACAGTTCAGGTGTACCTGCAGGGGGAGACACAGGACAGTCAGGAGTCTACCACAACCACCAGGGGACAGCGCAGCAATGTCAGAGGAGTCTAACACAAGTAAGTAAGTAAGTAATGTTTATTTATATTGCGCATTTTACAGACCAAGGTCACCCAAAGTGTTCCAATCATCAAAAAGTTGTTCCAATCATTCCACACATAGTGATGACGGATTTAACACAGTCCATTCACTCTCTCATCTACATTCATACCTACATGTAATTTCCACTCTGAAAGTCCCTGTTCCGACCGGGATTCGAACCCAGGACCCTCTTGCTGAGAAGTGAGAGTTCTATCCACTCAGCCACCGTGCCACCCAACACAACCACCAGGGGGCGACACAACGAACCAGAAAGAGGTCCAGACTCACCCACAGGTCCAGGTCCAAGTTCAGCAGCCTGGCTGGTCCGTCTGTCGCCCCGTCTCCGTGTTGAAGACAGAAGCAGCAGCGGCGCAGGTCTTTGGGGACAGGATCTCCACGCAAACACGCTCCTAAGGCCTGGAAGTCCTCCTCTGACAGGGGCTCTGGGGGAATGCAGGGGCCCCTGGGAAAGAAGAGCAGTTTAAAGAAACAAAAAATGCAGGCGGGCGCTCAGTGAGCGGGCTTCTTGCTCGGAGCTGACTGACCTGCTGAGTGTGACGCTGACGCTCCATCGTCTCCAGCCACAGTTCTTGGGTCTCTTCTGTCGCGGCTCCTCTCCCCCAGGAACAGCTCTGGGCCTGGGTTTCAACTTCACCTTCACCTGGAGGAACCATGACCAGACATGAGCTAATGTGTTTCTACCCACAAGTCTGAAGGACTATAGCAGGACTAGAGCAGGGCTAGAGCAGGGCTAGAGCAGGGCTAGAGCAGGACTAGAGCAGGGCTAGAGCAGGACTAGAGCAGGACTAGAGCAGGACTAGAGCAGGACTAGAGCAGGACTAGAGCAGGACTAGAGCAGGACTAGAGCAAGTCCAAACCTTGAGGCTGTCGGTACGTCTTGTCTCCATGGTGATGGCGGAGGCGCTGGGGAATGCCAGTGGTGGCGAGGGGGCGGAGTCAGTGGACGGCGCTCTCAGTGTGTGGACGGCGATGGACGACATGTTGTTGTTGTAATGATGCAGAGGTTTGACAAGAGGAGGAGTCAGCTGTAAAGATACATGTATACTGAGAAATGTATACTGAGATATAATGAGACTGAGCCATGTATACTGAGCCATGAGAACTGAGACAAGTATACTGAGAAGTACTGAGACATGCATACCTTGTTGGCCTCCCGCTGGTTGAACTGGCTGGAGCAAGAGCTGGAGCAGAATACCGCAGCGTTCCCAGTTTTAGACTGAGCCTCCTGTAAACACACCACTCATGAGCTAAGCAGATATGGCTCTGGTCAGTGCTGTGATGGGAAAGAACCCCAGGGTCAGGGTGTCATGAATGCTCTGAGCGCTCGGACATGACTAACCTGTCTGACCGCTCGGACCAGAGGCACTTGGCAGAAGCTGCAGTTTTGAGGCCGAACAGGGGGTGGTGCTGTGTTCATCTCCATCCGCACTGAGGAAGAGAGCACAGACAGAATGAGGAGCAGCTTCAACACAGAGGGTTCTGTGAAGAGGAGGAGGTGAGATGAAAACTGACCGCTGTTTACAGGAGCAGGAGGTCTTTGAGGCCGGATACCAGGTCCCTGAAACACAAGGGCTACAGTTAGCGTTATGCTTTTTTCAAAGAATAAGGAGTCTGTGCTTAGTCTGTGCCGATAGAAAGCCTGCAAATGAGGAGGCCCCTGGCTCTGCAACATGATTAGTCTTGTGTGGACATTGATGTACTTCAAGTACCTGCATCACCGGCACTCGTACCCCTGCCAGCAGGGCCAAGTTACTGCGCTCAGGTCCTGTCCTGTGGAGCTGGTAGTTCAGAGGAACAGGCAGACGGAGCAAGCGTGCCACGGCCGCCATGACACCAGGAACATTCTGTGGAGAGAGGAGAGTTCAAGTCCTGGGCCTGGCCCGGCCCGGCCCAGACCAGACCCAGGACCAGAGACAAAAGCAGAGCAGAGGCGTGTGTCCTGTCTGCAGAGATATTGTACTTTGTCGGCGATTGGGGCGAACACAAGTTTGTCCACCGTAGCGCTTCATAAAGAGACAGATGTGCGCATGACGGATGCTCACAGCTGCGGTCTGTGGGTCTGAGTCTCACCTGAGCGGCCACAGGATTCAGGGTCAAGGAAAGGGTCACCAGGTCAGTGCTAGTGCAGGAGGGCGGAGCCTGTAGGTTTGGCTCAGATTTCACTTCCCGTTTCATCGCTGAGCCTGAAAACAGAGAAACCATATGTGAGTGGAGCCGCAGCATTGGGACTGGTTCAGACTCAAGAGGTTCCAGGGTCTGTCCAACTGGTTCCAGGTGACATACAGTAGATTCACAAGAGAACTTAACCAAACGTACAGCATCACCCTGTACTTAAAACATCAAATACAATTTATCTTTAGCTTAAAAAATAAATTAACTACAACATGGATTGAAGATGAGAGCACCTTTCCCCCAGGCGGAGGGCACAACAGGCAGAGGGGGCGAGGAGCAGGGCGACTGTGGCTCCAGTTTGATGAAGGACAGATCCGGGTATCGGCTGATCTCTGTGTCCGCCACACTCTCTGGCGACGAGGACGGGACATACTCTGAGGGACTGGGGGCTTCTGCCAAGAACTGCAGCCTGGGACACAAACAGGGTCTGATTTCAGTCATATCCAGTTCAAACAGCGCTTCTGTCTGAAGTCGCACTTACCGGATGTCCTCCTGGTTGTTGTGGGGGGGTGTGGGCAGGGAGGCGGGGACATCCACAGTTTTGGAGGTGTGGTTTAGAGCCAGATGCTCCTCCCCCTTCTGCTTGACGGCCTTCACTACTGTATAACGCACACAAGTTAGTTTTCCCCTGAGCAGATCGGTGGTTGGCTGGATGAGACACGCACCTTCTGTACTCAGCTCCTTGTGGCTCAGCTCCTTGTGGCTCAGCTCCTTGTGGCTCAGCTCTTCTGTGGAGGTGAAGCCGTTCAGCAGCTTCTGTCGCGGTACGGGGGGAGGGGTGGGGGGTAGCGAAGCCGGCGGGGTGGGCGGGTTACCCAAGTTATTCTGCTGCAGGACACATGATCATTCAGAGCTTTAAGCATATGTAGATAACTGTATATGTATGCGTGCATGTGTATGCGTGTATACAGTATGCGTTTGTGTACCTTGTAGATGAGTGTAGAGTAGTAGTCCGTGACCCCATCCAAACATGCGTTCCCAAAAGAGCCCGAGAGTCGGGAGTCGGAGCCTAGAGAAGAGCTTCCAAATGGAGGAAAGAGGGACAGGTCGACCCTGAACAGGGGCTCCATGAGCGGGAGCACGGCCAGCTACAGAGAGAGAGAGAGAGAGCGAAATCAGGGTTTGACCTAAAAAATTACCTTCAAATGACAGATACAGATGTTACGACCAAAACAGTTTTACTAAAAGACCACAACAACAGTATTTCAAAACTGAAAGAGGAGCAAGTTTCAGGTGGGTGATGTCATACCTGTCTCAGGTGGGAGAGGAGGGGGTCTGCAGAGTTGGAGTTGAGGATCTCTTCTTCTTCTCGTTTCCTTCGCTTATATTTAATCACAGGTTTGTCCTTCTCTGGTCGGTTCAGTCTTTTTAACCGTGCTTTTTTATCCAGGTCTCCTCCAGGACTGTCCAGCTGCCCCTGAAACACCACGGAAGAGCATTTAATTTGAGCCCATGTGTGTTGGAGGTCTGATTGTGAGGAGGAACACTGTTCAGAGCAGTTCCAGACCGTGTAAAGCTTCTTACTGTGTTCATAAAGGCCTCCTCTTCCTCAGACATGTGGCCCCTGTGTGGAGTTGAAGGAGAGCAGAGTGCGCCCGCCGGTGGAGCCGAGGAGGGAGGCGTGGCAGACGGGGACTTCTCCTTCAGTAAATGTCGCAGCAGTTCTTTACCAGCGTCTCCGCTTTCAGTCTGTTCCATCTTTACTCCTCCGGAACAGGAGAGGCCTTCCACGCGCTCCTCCTGAAGCAAACACAGCCTCAACAAGAGCCACAACATAGAATGCCTTTGGAGGCACCAGATACACACATGTCTGATACATAGTTTTGAACCGGATGAGAAAAGAAAAAAGGAAGAGAGTGATGGATGATGCTGGACTATATTACCTCCGGGGCGTCATACAGGGGTCACAGGTGACTCATTTGGTATTACTACTCAAACTGTGCTTGAAGCGAATATTCAGCGCTATGCTAAAGCAAAGAGAACTGGACATTGTACAAACCTTGACTTCCAGCTGGACTGCGCACAGTGGCCCTTGGTGCTGCTCTTTCCCCAGAGCAAAGCCTCTGTCCTGGGTAGCTACCGTGACAGACAGCTGCCTCTCCAGCTCAGTGGACGGCGCCAGGGAGAAGAGCTCCGATTGGTCAGACGCACGGGTGGGGGTGGAGCCAGCCGTGTCAGAGCGCACAGGTGTGGGAGGGGCCGTGTCGGAGCGCGCAGGTGTAGGAGGAGCAGTGTCAGAGCGTGCAGGTGTGGGAGGAGCTGTGAGGTCATCAGAGTGCGACGAGAGTGGCGTCCTATCCCCACGGAATGCGGCCTGGGTGGGACGTGGTGTGGAGGGGGAGGAGGAGCAGGAGTCGTGGCCCAGGCGGGAGAGGGTGGAGGAGTTAGCAGGAGGAGCGGGTGTGACAGGGGCGCTGGGAGGAGATGATGTCATAGCCGGAGGAGCAGTGGTGGATGAGGTAGGAGCACCAGAAGGAGACATAGTGACATCAGAGGAACCAGGAGAAGATGTCAAAGGAGCAGACAAGGTCAAAGCCAGAGGAGCAGAAGAAGGAGGCGCAGATGACGTGGTGGGTACAGAGCCCGTTCGGGGCTGTGGAGGCTGGACTGTACTGGGCCCGGTTGAGGGGGGCGACTGGAGGAAGTCTTGGGGTAGTTCAGAGCTGAAGAAGGGCATCTGAGACAGAGCGTCCCCAGTGGTATGGGTGGGGAGGATAGGCGGCCGCGAGACCCCTCCCAGCATGCCTTGCTGCTCCTGCTCCATGCGCTGCTGCAGAGCACGGTGCCTCTCCACCTGGACACATCACAACTTCATAGTCAGTATTTTACTGAGGCCACAGACGTACATCTGTTACAGAGACTGAATCCTGAGACTTGGCTCCTCCCCTCCCCTGAAGAAAGTCTAGAGTAGAATGGTCAGAGCCCCGTCCCAATTCTCAACCTTGCCCTAGACCCTTGCCGCGGGGGTTGGGGTTGTAGGGTGTCCCAATACTTATGGAGAAGAGGCGAGGGCCCTCACACCCTTAAAAACCACCCATGCGCGAGAGTGAAGTCCGGAGCTCATTTGCGCGCAAGGGTGATCCCATGATGCATTAGTTGGTAGTAGCTGTCGGGCAAAGCCGTGCCACAATGAAAGAAAACAACACGAAACGCATGAACCAAACGGCCGCAAGTTTGTGCGGAACGTGAGTAAACATTGAGGCGAGCACGAGTTTTTAAAAGCGTGTGTTGGAGCCGTATATGGTAGGTTCGCTCGCAAAGCAGCGTGTCGCGTTCACTGAGGTTCAGAGACGTGGATCCAATTTATTATTATTGATCCATGATGTAGTTCAGAGCATCGCTTTGACAGCTTTGTGATCTGCGGGACCACAGCTGTTTACCCATCGGTCTCTGTGTGGTACGTGTGTGTGTCTCTGCCTCTGTGTGGTACGTGTGTGTGTGTGTGCGTGCATGTGTGTCAGTGTGTATATGATATGGAGCAGTTCTATACCTAATAATACCAAATCGTCTTCATATAAAATTCCATTAAAAACGTCTCAGTTTAATAAATACTTTCATGAAGTCATATCTGTGTCATATCTTATCTGTGGTGAAATCAGACACAATGATAATGCGTGTTGGGATTGGGACGGGGCCTAGGTCTGACCTCATGCATCAGCTGGACCCTCTGTCTCTCCTGCTGTTCTCTCAGACGCTCTCGCCGCTCTCGCTCCTGGAATCCTTCACTAAACGGATTATTGTCGTCAAACTTCACCTGAAGCAGCACAAACACAGGCTCAGTACGTAGCAGAGTATATGTGCCTATAAATTACAGGCTCGGTATGTGGCACTCACATGAGGAGTGGGGGTTTCTGCCCCGTTGGCGCCTGAGCTGAACCTCTGTGCCGGGGGCTGGGGCGCCATCTGAGGGGGAATCCTTAGTGTCCCAGGGACCAGAGCTGGGACCTGCCCAGAGACCTGGGCTGGAACCCACCCTGCTGCTCCAGGGGCGCCCAGAGGAGGGCGTGGTGTCTGCATGAGTCCAGCAGGAGGGCCTCCATGGGTTGGGGGGACCAGAGCCCTGGGGGTGGGGGGGACAAGGGCCCCAGGGGTGGAGGGGACCAGGGCCCCGGGGGTGGGGGGCTGCAGGACTCGAGGATGGAGTTTGGATCTGTAATCCTCGATGAGCTCAGAGTGGTCTTTCTGTTGCTTTCGGATCTGCACAGACAGAGCGCTGGGTTAGAGCAGTGGTCCCAAGTCTGACCGACCCAAAGACCCAATAACGAAACTGTTACACACGTTATACTGGAGAACATTTTCCTTCAGCAACAGGTTTAACATACAGGATACAAGGATAGTGTGTATGTTCTCTGACTGAGGGGGAGGCTGTGAGGGTGAGGAGGCTTTGAGGGCGCCCCCTGCTGGTCGGTCAGTTATAGTGTGTTTAATAACAGGGGTATTATACTGAAGGGTGGGGGTGTACCTGCTCCAGCTGCCGCTGCACAGCCCCTTGCTGGTCGGTCACATATCGCAGCTGTGCCTCATCCTCCTCGTTGAGGGAACGTCCTGCCCTCCTTGCTGTGCGCTGCTTTGCTGACAAAGCCTTCTTGGTTTTACGGTGTGCGCTGATCTGCTCCTCCAGGAGGCGCTGCTGCATCTGAAGGAGGCGCTGTGTCTCCCCCAACCATTCCTCATACTGCCGCCTCTGGCCCTCATCTAAAGAGAGAACATCAGAATGAGTAACGAGGTCGGCATGAGAAAGGTAAGGGGTCAGCATGACGGGGGAGGTCAGCAGGAGTAAGAGGCAAGCATGAGGGAGGTCAGGGGTCAGCATGACGGGGGAGGTCAGCAAGAGGGAGAGGCAAGCATGAGGGAGGTCAGCGGTCAGCATGAGGGGGGAGGTCAGCAGGAGGAAGAGGCAAGCATAAGGGCGGTCAGAGGTTAGCATGAGGGGGGGAGGTCAGCAGGAGGAAGGGGCAAGCATGAGGGAGGTCAGGGGTCAGCAAGAGGAAGATGCGGTCTAAGGGAGGAGTTCAGCATGCTGGAGCAGGTCAGCTTGAGGGAGTTCTGAGGTCAGCAAGAGGGAGCAGGTCAGCAGTTCTGCTGAAATACTCACTGCTGAACCCTGGGCTGAAGTTGGGAGGAGTAGGGCGCACCATGGGGGGGTTCAGAGCTCCATCCTGGAATCAGAAAACATAGAGTGAAACAAGCCCCAGGTCTGAACCTGCTGTAAGAATGAGCCAGCAGCGCTGTGCAGGTGTTTTCCTCTTTAATCACATGGTTTTGAACAATACCGAGAGTTCCATGTTGGTCAGCATAATAATGAGGCTTCTTTAGGAAATGGAAAACATTAACTTTTATTATTGAACTGAGCGAGTGTGACATCACCATTGTGTGACTTCACCATTGTGTGACATCGCCATTGTGTTAGCCTAAGTGACAGTCTGGAGTTTGTCCAAAAAAGAGGTAAATGATTTGAAAAAAGTGACCCAAGATCCTCCCCCTTTTTTTCTGATTGGTCTTGAAGCCGCGCCTACTTTTCCGTGCACGCGCCAGGTCAATGGTCCAAGACGTGCGGATGATCATAATCATAATTTATTTTACGGCTCCTCACAGCGACAGTGGAATGCTCCAATGATTTGAGTGTAATTTCAAAACGTTCTACAGATCATTATTTCTTGATAAAAAAACCAACTCTCAAACCAATAACGGCCACTAATAATAACTGTCACTTATTACTTTTGTCTGAGCGAGAGAAGCTATCGGAGCAAGCCACGCTCAGTAACACAAATATCAATCAATCAACACATTTAAATGTTAATCAGAAAATAGGTTATACATATACATTCTTAACACACGTGCACAGAGGTTTCAAGAATTATCCGTTTACGTTTTCATGACAAAAATACTGTTTTAATTCGTCAAAAAGCGATTGCGCTAAAAAACCATTAAAGGACAACTAATCCTCAAATCCACTTATTTTTTGCTGATAAACAGTATAAATGAGTGTCCAATAGTGTTGTGTACATATCCTGGTCATAATTTTGTCACTTTAGTGCAAATTAGTTGAAAGATCAACTTTCTGCCTAAAACCGTCAGTGAGGCGCCATCTGCTGGCAACCTGTATTTACTACATTTGAATTTTGAATCTGGCGCCAACATTGGCACAGCAGCAAAGACTGACGTCAGTTGCCCTGCCGTCCAGTGAACGAGACTGGGCCGTTCACGCCCCCGTGTTGGAGAAGGAATAACAGAGTATTTTCATCGATTGTCAGGTTTGCGATTAGTTATAGCATTTAGGTAGATTTTTATTGCTTGCTTGCAGTCACTTGACGCATAAACTTCCGGTTGACAAAGTGGTGGTCTGGCCAGCAAGAGTTGGTGCTGATATATGAAGAAAATGCGACTCTTCAGAGTATTTTTTTGCTTTTTTGGATATTTCATGACAATTTGAAGCTACTGTGGTGAACGTTCTAACTCATTATTCTAACAATATGCACAAGGCAGAATTTTTCCACTACATGTTTTGGTAAGGGTTAGGGTACCGCGGCAAATGGTAACATGCTAATAAGTCTCCATTCCTCCGCTGTATGTCACTTACATTCTGTAACGCCTTTGTTTATGCTGCCTCTACCATCGTCAATAAAACATGTCTTCTGTCTGAATTAAAGACACAATCCTAGACTGTAACACTAGCTAGTGGATTAGAATCTAAAGTGAAGAAAATGACAATCAAGCTTTTGCACTGCTAAACAAATGAAGGTTTGGAAAAACATGGAACTTTTCCGTCTGTCTGTGGGTTCAGGAACTCAGAGTTAAGGTCCTGAAGGACAAATCCTGCATCGTAAAGAGCCGTGTAAGTAACGATTGGTATGAACATGTCATTCTCAACAAAACAATGCGTCACTTTTCCTGCGTCTTTTCGTAAAGTCCTGAGTGCGAGGCTCTTTATTGATCTCTTCACAAGGAATCCTAAAGTATCCATTAAAGGTTTCGCGACTCGATTGGTTAGAAAACAACACATGCAAAAGGCTTATTCAGACACGCTTCTCTAGTAAACAAATAGCTCGGCTGACCACCACTTCGTGATACGCATACGTAATGAGGCGGACGTGACATCAATTGCAAGCAAGCAATTAGCATAACTGTTTGTATTATAGATAATTGTGTAGTGTTAATATAGCGTGTTGTTGAATATTGTAGTTTTTATCATTAGTTGCTTTTATTGTTAGTTAGCTGAATTTAACTTAGGACTTTTGTTAGTTTTACTAGTTTTCTATATCGTGTGCAATTTCATTGTATATTGTTTATTGTAAATACAATAAATACTACTTTATGTTTGCGCGTGTGTTAAATTTCTGTCTCTTTTGTGCACATTGGGGTATCATTTCTATCCAAAATGCCTTTGGGGTTTTCCATGCAGCACAAGTTTTCCCTTGGGGACAAGGAGGTTATTGCGGCAGAGTTTAGAATGTTATAACTATATGACCCCACAACATATAGTTTCTTGGTCTGGGTTCATGAACAAAATGTACAGACAAAACTATCAAGCAAAGCACCGCAACATAAGGGGCTACTGTATGGGAATATGGGGAGGCTACATACAGTGGGGCAAAAAAGTATTTAGCCAGCCACCGATTGTGCAAGTTCTCCCACTTAAAATAATGACAGAGGTCTGTAATTTTTATCATAGGTACACTTCAACTGTGAGAGACAGCGATAATTCACATTGTAGGACTTTTAAAGAATTTGTAAATTATGGTGGAAAATAAGTATTTGGTCACTTCAAACAAAGAAGATCTCTGGCTCTCACAGACATGTAACTTTTTCTTTAAGAAGCTCTTCTGTCCTCCACTCCTTACCTGTATTAATGGCACCTGTTTGAACTTGTTATCTGTATAAAAGACACCTGTCCACAGCCTCAAACAGTCAGACTCCAAACTCCAGTATGGCCAAGACCAAAGAGCTGTCGAAGGACACCAGGAAAAGAATTGTAGACCTGCACCAGACTGGGAAGAGTGAATCTACAATAGGCAAGCAGCTTGGTGTGAACAAATCAACTGTGGGAGCAATTATCAGAAGATGGAAGACATACAAGACCACTGATAATATCCCTCTATCTGGGGCTCCACGCAAGATCTCATCCCGTGGGGTCAAAATGATCATGAGAACGGTGATCAAAAATTCCAGAACCACACGGGGGGGCCTGGTGAATAACCTGCAGAGAGCTGGGACCAAAGTAACAAAGGTTACCATCAGTAACACACTACGACGACAGGGAATCAAATCCTGCAGTGCCAGACGTGTCCCCCTGCTGAAGCCAGTGCATGTCCAGGCCCGTCTGAAGTTTGCCAGAGAGCACATGGATGATACAGCAGAGGATTGGGAGAATGTCATGTGGTCAGATGAAACCAAAGTAGAACTGTTTGGTAAACTCAACTTGTCGTGTTTGGAGGAAGAACAATACTGAGTTGCATCCCAAGAACACCATACCTACTGTGAAGCATGGGGGTGGAAACGTCATGCTTTGGGGCTGTTTTTCCTGTCCCCTTTTTCTGCTAAGGGGACAGGACGACTGATCCGTGTTAAGGAAAGAATGAATAGGGCCATGTATCGTGAGATTTTGAGCCAAAACCTCCTTCCATCAGTGAGAGCTTTGAAGATGAAACGTGGCTGGGTCTTCCAGCATGACAATGATCCTAAACACACCGCCCGGGCAACGAAGGAGTGGCTCCGTAAGAAGTATTTGAAAGTCCTGGTGTGGCCTAGCCAGTCTCCAGACCTAAACCCCATTGAAAATCTGTGGAGGGAGTTGAAAGTCTGTGTTGCTCGGCGACAGCCCCAAAACATCACTGCTCTCGAGAAGATCTGCATGGAGGAATGGGCCAAAATATCAGCCACTGTGTGTGCAAACCTGGTAAAGAGTAATCGTATACTGGTACTATAGTAATCGTATGACCTCTGTTATTGCCAACAAAGGTTATTTTACAAAGTATTGAGTTGAATTTCTGTTTTTGACCAAATACTTATTTTCCACCATAATTTACAAAACAAATTCTTTAAAAATCCTACAATGTGAATTCCTGGATTTTTTTTCACATCTCTCACAGTTGAAGTGTACCTATGATGAAAATTACAGACCTCTCATTATTTTAAGTGGGAGAACTTGCACAATCGGTGGCTGACTAAATACTTTTTTGCCCCACTGTAAATGGCCACTCTTGTCAAAAGGTTCGATTCAGACAGGTTAGCATTTCAGGGTCCGGATCCCTACATTATTGCTCTTCAAGACCTGTGACAAGCAGTTCATACTTTTTATTCCACTCTAATCTATATCATTCAGAAACAGGTCCCATTCTGTGGCGGTCTGCTGCCTCCGCTGCCTCTGCAGGTCCCTCGCTGGTGCCCGCAAGCTCGCAAGCCAAGCCGCTCTGCTGCAGAGCTAGCGGTGCTAGCGGCTCAAATTGATAGGGCTGAGGGCCGCTGGCTGCCTCCTCTCTCTCAACCTCTGGTGAGGACGGTGGAGAGAAGTCCTCCACCTCCTAAGACCGCACAGAAGCTGTAGAGCTGGTGTCTGTGTTCACACTCCATCTTTGACACTGCCAATGCTGGTGTCAATCACAGCTTAGAGCCGCCCAACATTCACCCCCCCCGCCTGTCCCCTTTAGTCCTCCAGGCTACGCCCATTTGGAGGAAGATTTGAAAAGGAAATGTGAGTGACGTAGGCCACGAGGAGCGGGGGTGAACACCACTTTAACATTAGTATAACATTTTTTGACACATTTGCAGAGGATCTGCTTAGGGATTTAGGTTAAGTTTATAGTTGGGTCACTCACCGCTGATGTTCAGAATTCTTTGTTCACTTTTCATGTAGTTCCAGAGAGTTCTAGTTTTGAAGTAACATACTAGCTAGCCTAGCTGTTAAGCCGCGTTCAGACCGGATCATGCATTGCTGCGACTTTCAATGCAAAGTCAATGGTGACGCGCGCTCGAGCTTGGAACTACATGTGCACCTCCGTGAACACATACTACTGTTATATAAAGTCTCCGGAAGGTCTCTGGACACAGAGACGCTGCAGAGCTGCATTATTGGAGAAGAACTTTACACAAAAAGCCGCTAGCTTAAAGGTGCTTTCACACGCCTCGCGCACCAGACGCACACTCTAATTTTCAGGCGCAGGGGTCTTCACACCAGAAGTCCTGGCCACCGGAAGTGGCGGAAGTAGAGGGCGGACTTTGATGCTAACAGAGTTAAGCTAGCGGCTTTTTGTGTAAAGTTCTTCTCTAATAATGCAGCTCTGCAGCGTCTCTGTGTCCAGAGACCTTCCAAAGACTTTATATAACAGTAGTATGTGTTCACGGAGGTGCGGCATACGATTATTTTATTATTAAACGGTACTTCGGCATCGGCGAACACGATCGAAGCAGTTGCATAAATTCACGGGAGCATGAAAACGCATATGTTCAAAGCACTATTGCTGTTTTTCCACGGTCCGAGTACGATACGTTTTGACTCTACACGGCCATGGCCCAGTTCGCATGCTTTTCCATCAAAAATAGTACCCCTAGTATGTCCTCAGCGTTGTCAGACCACGTCATTTACGTGTGACGCGTAACTAGTACTGGTGCGGTGCATGGATTTATTATAATACCAGAGCAAGTGTTTAATAGAAAATTCAGCACAGCACGAGTAGTTTTTGAAAATGCTTATGTCTTAAAAGAATGACTCAGACACTGTGAAGTCAATGGTGCTGACTGCTCTGAACAATCTGAATGGGACATACCTGTAGCAACAGCAGCCTGTGTAGCAGAGGAGGAGGGCTGCATGTCCGAGGATACGGCTAGGCTATAGCTAATGCTAGCGCTAGCTCGAGACTCGGCTCACTCACTAACCCTGGATTCCAAAGCAACTACAATACTACACTTAACACATCTATCACTGCCATCAGAGGAGGATCCAGGGTTTAAACTCGTCATATGGCCACTCGACCAGTAAAGGACCGAGGGAGAGACAGCGGCAGCCATAGGGGTAGCGAGTTAGCGGCAAAGCTAGGCTAAGCTAGGCTAGTCCGGACTCGGGTCCGGACTACAGCAGACTCCGAGACCAGACAAACAATCGATACCCAAACCTCAGCTACAATAATAAATGAATGAAACAGTCTTGGGATACAATCACAGATTTATTTACAAACAAAAGTAAAGTGCAAAACCAACAGTTTACAAAGTCGTATGTACGTATGTCAGAGACCAGGTCCAGACCAGGTCCAGATGAGAATACTCCGGTCACTCATTACTCGTTGGTAATCTCCACACTTATGGGAAAAGATTCTCATACAAATATACACACAACAACTTAAATACAAGCACAAAACAGAATGACAACACATGAATACTGCAGATAATACGAGATAAAGCACAGTAGCACAGGGAGGACGTTAGCTTAGCTGCTATTGATAGCTAAATGAAGCTAAATGTAGCTAGCTCACTGTGTACAACAGACAATCGAGCATTTACACAGTAAATACATTTCAGTGAGAGCTTTAGGGGGTTCGTAGCTAACCAGTTATTTCAGGATTACCACAGACTAGTCACAAATCCAGAGCTGGGTGATCTCCTGAAAACTGTTGAGCCTCGAGCTGCCTTTGAATTCTTTCTTTGGCCTGAAGAGAGGAACGTGTGGACCTCTTCCACCGACCAGGACTTTTGGTGCTTTCTGTGCAATTCCATTTCTCTAGAGTGAGGAGGACGTAATGTAGCCGAAGCAGAGCCGAGCAGAGCAGCTGGTTTTAAAGATGGCGGTTGAGTTGTTTTTTCCCAAAGGGTCAGATGTCGCCTCCAGTGACGACACTCGTTGACCAATCAGTGTAAGGCCGCCGTGACGTCATGGCACGGGTAACATGGGGATGGAACCACGGCTGAGGCAGTACGGAAAAGTACTCACATCTCCCATTCCATCCACTAGTGGAAACGCAAAATAGGTGCGCCGTACCGTACCAAAATGAACTGAACTGACACTGTGGAAAAACGACATATGTCCCCCATTGTCAACCCTGGTTTAGTCCTAGTGTTCCTGTTTTGGCTGTTTACAAGTATGTTCAGTCTGCTCGCTCAGACCACTTATGTCCCTATGACCAATTTGCGGCTCTCGGATTGGTTGCTGCTTGAGCGTCCCGAGGAAACGCTCAGCAATATTCATCTCCTGCGTGCGTCGATTTTACGCTCCTGCGCAGTCCGTGCGGGCTTCCTGAGACCCACATGCAGTTCGACACTCAAACAAGCGTTACCAATGACTTTGAATTGAAAGTCGACGCAACGCAAAGTGAAAGCACCATAACTCCGTTAGCTTCAAAGTCCGCCCGCTAATTCGTCGGCGCCACCGCAGGCCAGGACTTCTGGTCTGAACACCCCTGCGTCTGAAAATTAGAGAATGTGCATCTGGTGTGCGAGGTGTCAGCGTCCCAGCGTCGGCAGCTTGAACGCGCCATTGCCCGTCAAGCCACGTCACAGGGAAATATTTGGGAAATAACTATTTTATAAATATCATTTTAAATGGATAATGGAAGTCCAGCTCTATCCTGTCCCCTGTACTCAGTGCAGCAGGTGGGGGACAGGAGGGTCCTGGACCAACTAATATCTATGCTGGACCATATCCTTAATGAATACCATAATTAGGCCTGTCACGATTACAAATTTTGCTGGACAATTAATTGTCTAAGAAATTATTGCAATAAGCGATAGTATTGTCGTTCTGAGATCATTTTCATCTAATACAATGATAATGATGCAGGTACACCTTTTCAAAGAGAAACACTTATTTTTAAAGACCACCGCCGGAAGTGGCGGAAGTAAAAAGCAGCTAGCTTGATGCTCTTGCCAATAATGCAGCGTCTTTCAGTCTGCTCGAGTGACCACTTTGCGGCTCTCTAACCCGAGAGAGAGGGAGAGACGGGAAAACAAACAAGCATGCAAATGGAATTTATTGTGGCCAGGAAAACTATCGAGCCAATTTTAATTATCATGCGATTAATTGATTTATTGAATATCGCAACAGGCCTAACTATAATGTGTAATAACAACATGTCACTCTCATTATTTGCCTCATTATTATTATGAGCAAGATAGAGATATTATTCTTCCTCTTTGATGCAAGAGTTAGAGATTGTGTAATTTTGTAGCTCAATTGGTAGAGAATTGGCCTTTGAGCCTGAAGGTTGTGGGTTCGAGCCCACTACGGGACCTTTTCCACCGACTCCCACTGATGTCTGTGGTCGTTGTGTCCTTGGCAAGACACTTAACCTCTGGGAACACCAGCCACAGTGGGGCGGCTGTACAGTGCCAAACTGCTGTTGTGTCCTTATGCAAGACACCTCATCCCCATTGCCTAGAATGAGTCTGGTGTGTGTGTGAATGGTTGGTGGTGGTCGGAGGGGCCGATGGCACAGACTGGTTGCCTCGCTTCTGTCAGTGTGCCCCAGGGCAGCTGTGGCTACAGCAGTAGTTTATCACCACCGTGTATGGAGTAAATGAATGACATGTAAAGCGTCTTTGAGTGTCCAAAAAGCGCTATATAAAACTGATGCATTATTATTTTCATTATTATTTGAATTAGTATAGCTATTGTTCATCTTGTGCTGTGTGCTCCTCATTCCGACTGTTCAATAACTTGTGATGCAACACTGAAATTTGGCCGCTGTGGAACAAATGAAGGATCTCTTAATCTTAATCTTTACCTGTGCTCCAGTCAGTGGTGGTGGCGCCCCATCTTGAGCAGTGTTGGGAGCTGCAGGCTGCTGAAGTCGCACCATCGGGTTCATCCCCAGAGGCCCCTGAGACATGAAGCGGTTGATCCCCTTCAGAGCCACCATCTTGGCCTTCATGATGGGGTCCGAGATGGAGTCGAAGTCTGAGAGCACAAGCGCAAGGCTTTAGACTGGGACTGATCAAACCAGTTTTAGTTGTTTTAGTACTGGTAATCCTACTTCAGTCCCGCTTCAGTCCCGCATCAGTCCTTAATGGTACTCATGTTGTTTCCTCATCAAACAAAAACCTGTTTCCTTAATTTCACTTTGTGAGAGAACAAGACGTTCACACTTACTGGTCTAACTGGACTCTGTTCACTTCACAAGAAAATGTACAGGTCCTAGATCTGTTCCAGAAGTGAACTGTGTGAACACGCCCCCGAGTCCACTCTGTTAACGTTCGCCAAAACCTTCACAAAAGAGACGCTTTGACACATGGCGAGTGAGTGCCACGCATCAAAGCGTCTCTGTGCGTTCGACTCCCGTCCCGCTTGTTTCTTTGACTCGGGCTGCCCCTGTCGTCCCGGTCGGTCTTACCCATAGGGGAAAAGGGCTGCTCGGAGCTCGACCTCTGCCTGATCAGCGCCTGCATCTGCTTCTGCTGCTCTTGCTCTTGTCTCTCCTGGTCCAGAAGGTCCTGGAGGAGGAGGGGCTGTTCCTCCAGGAGCAGAGGCCGAGGTTTGGAGGTGTCCAGGGCCTCGCTCTGGCCCTGGGACTGGGTTGAGGTCTGAGTGCTCTGAGCGACGCGAGGATGGAACACATGCTGAGGAGCTGAGAGGCACAGATCATGTGAGTGGGATTTAACGAGTCCTGACAAGGCCTGAGTGCGGGGATTCACAAAGGAGGAACCTTTCCATGGGAACGACTGAGTTAAATTAGGTTTTCATTGTTTTTTTTTCCTCATAAAGGACATGTTTAGTTTTCTCCAGTCGCTACATCCTGCTGGAAATTTAAGGAACACAGGTACTAGCCTCCTGCTGTTGAGGAGCACAAGGACTGGCCTCCTGCTGATGAGGAGGAGCACAGGGACTGTCCTCCTGCTGGTGACGAGCACAGGGACTGGCCTCCTGCACTGGCAGATCTCTGAGGGACGTTCCCGTGGCCAGTGTTTCCGTCTCTTTGCACCCCGCACTAACCAGATCCTCTTTGTTTGGTCTACTTTTGAAACGATCGAGTCGCAAAGGAAAGAAAAGCGAAAAAACATCACCGCACGCCAACTTCAGACAGACTCATGCACGCCAAGACTGGGGAAGTGCACCAGGGTTTGTGAGAGGAAGAAACAAGTTTGAAAACGTGGGAGTCAAAGTGAGAGTGGGACAGGACTCAAGGTCTATGTCTGCTCGGTCCAGTCGGGATACAGGTCGAGGTGAGAGTGGGTAGTGTGTAGGTGAGAGTTGACAGCTGTGGGGGTATGTGGGTGAGAGTTGACAGCTGTGGGGGGTATGTGGGGGAGGTCATGATGAGTTACCTGACGGAACTGGGGTCAGAGCAGGTGAACCCTTGGGCTTCTCCTGAAAAAGAGTGACAGACTCAGGTCAGAAGAAAGAACCAGTCCTAGACAGAGTCAAGACCTGCTCCCACTCGGTCTTCATCCATCTGGGAAAGGGCTTTATGAAGGTCAAGTCTGGGTCTACAGCAGACCCAGCACACACACACATGTTCTGTACCTTAAGAGGCACTGTGCTCAGAGCTCCAGCAGGGGGCGCTCTCAGTAGGTTCCCCTCAGTTTTCACTTCCTGCTTGATGCGCATTGAGGCAGCTGATTGGCCAGAGTTCTCTGTGGTCTTATGGCGGTCCTGGTCTTTGGGATCCGTGGTCTTGCGCTCCTGGTCTGGAGGGTCCAGGTCGAGTTCAGCATTGTCAAGGTTCATCTCTGGGTCGGCGTACGCTATCAGGTCGAACTTCCCCGACAGCAGGAAGTCGTCCAGGTGCAGGTCGTTAGCCGCCAGGTCCAGGTCCTCTTTGCCTGCGCAGAAACGCAAACAAATATTCACAAAACAACTCAATAGCCGCAAGCTGCTGTTAATGCGACAGCGAGAGAGAAGGGGCAGGGTCGCTTACCATCTTCTGGGTCGAGGTTCAGGTTCAGGTCCACCAGGTCCTTCACTTCGACATCCTCCAGGTCTTTCACAGCAGAGTCCTCTTCCTCCATGGCATCTCCGCTCAGTTCCACGCTGGGAGCCATGGCAAGCTGATGGCGAGGGGGCGTGGCTTCGTGCTCTGGGAACGGGAGGCGAAGGCGGTGCTCTGGAGCACGATGTCTGAGTTCAATGTACGGCTGTCCCATGATGCTGTGCGAGGGGTGAGGCTGTCCCATGATGCCGTGCGAGGGGTGGGGCTGTCCCATGATGCCGTGCGAGGGGTGAGGCTGTCCCATGATACCATGCGAGGGGTGAGGCTGTCCCATGATACCATGCAAGGGGTGAGGCTGTCCTATAATGCCCTGCGAGGGGTGAGGTTGTCCCATGATGCCATGCGAGAGATGAGGCTGCACTGAGACTGGGCGAGGCTGCGAGACTCCTGTGGGACACACGCATGTTTTAAGGCATGTAACTTTACTCTCAAACTCTCAGGGGCGTAACATTAACATTAAAATGAACTGTACCCGATTTATTTTCTATTTTACACATAAAACAGTGGAAAATAAACTTGAAAAGATCCAGGAGAGTTTTGAACTATTCTATAATTTGTATTCACAACCTCTATTGTCTAATGAGCTAAATATAGAATATTTTCTGAAAACATAACATTTCCCAAAATTAACAAACTTTCAAAATGCAGGACTGGTACAGCCAATAACAATCCATGAACTTAATCTGGCCATTTCCAAATTGAAGGCGGGGAAGTCACCAGAAGAAGAATTGTCACCTGTTCTTCTTCGTACCTTTAACTGGATTATATTAAATGGAAGAATTCCCGCATCGTAGAACAAGGCTATTATTTCTGTAATACCAAAGGAACGCAAGGACAAGCAAAATTGCAGCAGTTATCGTCCAATTAGTGTACTCAACTTAGAATATAAAATTATCACAGCAATAATAGCAAGAAGGTTGGAAAAAGTTCTACCTGCACTAATTCATCTTGACCTATGTGGTTTTATCCAACAGAGACAGACCTCATGCTGCTCATTGGTAATTGGAAAAATGAAAAGCAATCATTTTCATGCTTGTCGGTTGGAAAGCGGCGACTCCTCTGCCATTTCACCAATTTGCCTCAAAATGGCTCCACATCGTCTAAACAAATCTATCATTTTGATTTCAGCGAATTTTGATCAGTGAAACGAAGCGCCAAAAAGTGACGCATTTTTTCCAGTTTTTGACAATAGAAAAATTGCTCCCGTTTGCAAAAACAAAGTTTGATTTGCACAAAACTTGAATCCATGGTTCAACTTTAGGGTTTAGGTCATTTGAAAGTTAAACATTTGAAAATGGCTCATTAGCACCACCTACAACTGCCAATTTAAAAACGCCTATGGGACGGGTTTGAGGTCAAAATTGTCGTAGAGCCATGAAATTTGGTACACACATTCAACTCAAAACATGAAAACAATGTTATTATGGCCCCGCCCTCTGACAAATAGGAAGCCCATAAATTTCATTGGTAATTGGAAAAATGAAAAGCAATAATTTTCATGCTTGTAGGTTGGAAAGCGGCGACTCCTCTGCCGTTTCACCGATTGGCCTCAAAATTGCTCCACATCATCTCAACACATGTACCTTCAAAATTACCTCAGGGAATTTTGATCAGTGAAACATTGTTCGAGCAGCGGAGCAGCAAAATGTGAGTTTTTTTTGGCCGTTTTTGACTGATTTGCACAAACCTTGAATCCATTGTTCAACTCCAGGGTCTAGGTCATGTGAAAGTGAAATATTTGACAGTGGCCCATTAGCGCCACCTACAGACTGAGGCAAAATTTTACATGGGGAGCCAAACCAACTCAACTTATCATACTAATTAAAATTTCACAAACATTTCTCTATGCCTACAGGAACAAATCATGACGCGGCGGCGCCACCTCCGATACCTGGGCTGTTGTGCATGCGTCGTGTCACGGGGCGGCGTGTTGCGGGGCGGCGTTGTGCAAAGCGGCGTGGTGCGGCGAGGGCCGTTTGACGCTGCTTGCGGCTTTAATTCATTACCCTTGCTCTTTTAACAGCATTTCCAAACCCACTAACATTTAGAGACACAATTTTCAATGTTTGACTCTGCATTGGTTTAGTAAGAATTTAACTGTATGGTTGCTGGTCATTCTTGAACAAAAAACATAAAACAAGAACATGGCTCATAGGGAAAATAGGTGGCTCCTAAACAAAGTTACCGTCACTAAAACCTACAGGTGGAGGGGGGGGGGGGGGGGGGGGGGGTCCCCTTCCAGAACAGTGGCGGACCCCTTTTAAAGTACTACCACTAATTCTGCCATTGGTAAGCTCCTGGTAAGATGACAGTACAAGCTTGATTAACATTTCAGTCATAAAGTGCAATAATGAGGAATACTGGGGCGACAGTAGCTTTGTTGGTAGAGCATTGACCTTTGGGCCTGAAGGTCGTGGGTTCAAGCCCACCATAAGACCTACTTCACGACTCCCGCTGATGACTCCTGTCGTTGTGTCCTTGGGCAAGACACTTAACCCCACTTTGCCTGAAGCCCCCAATGAAAGATCTCAGCTCCTGTGGACTCACCACCTGCAGGAGGATCAGCGAGGGGCTGGTGCTAAGTGTACTGGGTGCAGCTCTGACTGCCACCCCCCCAACCCAGAAATGGATTAAGGGGAAGAAAATGGATGGATGGAATGAGGAATACTAACACACAACTTGTACCAGTTAGCCTTGGAGACATCATCGTGTTCCTCCTTTTGAAGACTGCTCCGGGCTCATTGTCTGGGTTTACGCTGAAACTCCTGCAGTCGTTCTCGTGCGCATTTCGCTGCTTCCTTCTCCCCATGTCGGTGGGTGCGCTACACGCAATGCCAAGGTGATGTCTGCTCCAGTTGTTGTGGTGTTATTGGGCTGTCAGAAACGTGCTCTTTTGTGTGGCCAGCAAAGAAGCCTCTTGCTGTTACAAACAGGCCACTCTATTGTATGCAGCGCAGTTAAACACAGCAGCATAGCAGCAAAAAGTGGCTATTCTTCCTCTGGCTGTAATTGCAGACACAGCAAAACAGCCCAAACAACAGCCCAAAGTACTTCCTGCTCTGGACAGAGCAGTCGCATTCTCTTGCTGCTCCTCGCTTGCTGCTTTTTAATCTCCTTTAATCATTTTTGCTTACATTTTTATTCCACAAAACACGGATTACTCCTTTTTGCATACTTCAACAAAAGACTTGTGGAATTTACCTAACTTACAGCATGTCGGGAGGACGGAAAAAAAGAACAAAACTTTGCGACGGCTGTTTTTCACTCAAACAGGAGCGAAAACTTCGTCAAGACCGAATGTTTGTGCTTGAATCAGAATTGGGGCTGAACACAACAATACCAGTGAAAGGAAATAGACCAAATGGACAGAACGTAAGTTATGATGAAGCTATTTCACTTCCCAAAATCAACAGAGACAATTGCTGGAACACATATGGTGCCAAGCCCAAACAAGGCAAAGCTAATGATAACAAGAGTGTCATAATGCCACAGCAAAAATCTTTAATTACAAGGAACCGCTATTCACCACTTTTGGAAGATGAATCAGCAGTAGCGTCTCAGTCTCAGTCAAGGTCAAATGCAGCTGAGTCGCTCTTTATCGGGGATTCTGCGATTAGGTATGTAAACATGCGTAATCTGAAAGTACACTCAGTGCACTCGGCCAAAGTGGATGAGACAAGGCTGTTGGCTCCAAAGCTTCTGTATGAGACCGGCGGGGAAAAAGATTGTTGATCCACGTGGGGGCAGTAGATGTCTATGACAACACAAGTGAAAAGTTGAAACGGGATTATTCTCTCTTATTGGACGACCTTGCAAAAATGGACGTAACAATTGTTATCAGTGGCCCACTACCAAATGTGGACGGGAAGCAAATGAAATTCAGTCATCTGTATCAGCTAAATAATACTTTCCTACTCAACGAATGTTCACGCACAGGACTTGCCTTCATTGAGAATTTTAATCTGTTCTGGAATAGGCATGAGCTTTTTGAAGGGAAAGGGCCACATCTGAACACTTACGGAGTAAAAGTGTTGATGGTTAACCTTTCTTTTGCCCTGAGACCTCAGCCTGCGCAGCGCGTGCAGCCTTCGAAAGGGAGGAAGCCGACTCCAAAAGTCTCTGCACCTCCACCACCTCGAAGGATCTCAACACCATCACCGCCTCGAAGGATCTCAACACCTCCATCGTCATCAGAAGCAGCTGCATCATCACCAGTAGCAGCACCAGCAGCACATCCTCATCCCCAGCCTGCTCCGAAGCAGTCACGCCTTCTTCATCTACAGCGCCTCTGAAGCCCCCATCCTCACCCCAGGCTACAGCAGACAGGCCTGTCCTGGGGTTTCCTCAACCACCTGCCCCTCCATCAAAGACTCCCTCGCCACCTCCCATGGACCTGTCTTAGGTCCCCCCTGCCACGTCCACTCCATCAAGAGAGAATGGGGACACTTCCCTCTGTTTTTCATCCCCGCCTTCACTGTTAGACCTACCTGAACACTCTGCAGGGCTAAAAAAAAGGGCTATAAAATCTGCGATGAAGACCATTCCTCTCACACCCATATTAGCTAGATCTAGAGTCCTGTCCAACATTCAAAACCCCTCCCCATATGTACCTCCAAAACCACCTAGGGTTTCCAATTCACCTACAAAAACCACCTCAGCCAGTCCCTCCCCTAACCTCATGACCGTTCCACCCCCAATTCCCCCTCGTTCAACACCCAAAACCTCTGCCTCAGCCCACCCTGCCCCTAACCCATCACCAAAAACCCCTCCACCTCCCTGCCCCTCTCGTTCAACACCCAAAAGCCACCCACCTCTCCATCCTCCTCCCCCGCTTCCCCTTCCCCTCTTATCTCTAAACACTAAGATGCACAGGGTCTCTGCTTCGCAGCCACTGGCAGTCTAGTTAGAGGAGAGACCCGGCCGGCTGGGGCCCTGTCATGAAGCCACCTGTGCCATTCCCTTAGTGATAACACAAAGAATACATCTGGAGTTCATCAGTCTAATCTAGAAAATCTAATTCTTGTTCCGTGTAAGAATCAGCCAACCACAACCACTGATACTGAAACTTGCTACACTTAATGTCAGATCTCTTTGTAACAAGTCTTTTTTAATCAATAATTTTATTTGTTCTCATAATCTTGATCTTATGTTCATGGCTGAAACTTGGCTTGACCAAAATTCAGGAAATGCAGTTTTCATAGAAGCATCACCACCAATACAGGAAAACAAAAAAGGAGGAGGCTTAACTGCCATTTTTAGAGACCACTTTGTCTCCCATAGAATGTCTCTTGGGAAGTTTCCGTCATTTGAATATGTGTCTTTTAAAATACAACAAAAACAATCTCCTCCAATACTCTTCATAGTCCTATACAAGCCACCGCAGTCAT